AAAAAAAAAAAAAAAAAAAAAATTAACTGCAGATGGATTAAAGATTTAAACGTTAAGACCTAACACCGTAAAAACCCTAGAAGAAAACCTAGGCAATACCATTCAGGTATATAGGCATAGGCAAGGACTTCATGACTAAAACACCAAAAGCAATGGCAACAAAAGCCAAAATAGACAAATGGGATCTAGTTAAACTTAAGAGCTTCTGCACAGCAAAAGAAACAATCATTAGAGTGAACTGGCAACCAACAGAATGGGAAAAAATTTTTTGCAAGCTACCCATGTGACAAAGGACTAATATCCAGAATCTACAAAGAACTAAAACAAATCTACAAGAAAAAAACAAGCAACTCCATCAAAAAGCGGGCAAAGGATATGAACAGACGCTTTTCAAAAGAAGGCATTTATGTAGCCAACAAATATATTAAAAAAAACTCATCATCACTTGTCATTAGAGAAATGCAAATCAAAACCACATTGAGATATCATCTCACACCAGTTAGAATGGCGATCATTAAAAAATCTGGAGACAACAGATGCTGGAGAGGATGTGGAGAAACAGAAATATTTCTACACTGTTGGTGGGAGTGTAAATTAGTTCAACCATTGTGGAAGACAGTGTGGCGATTCCTCAAGGATCTAGAAATAGAAATGCCATTTGACCCAGCAATCCCATTACTGGGTAAATACCCAAAGGATTATAAATCATTCTATTATAAAGACACATGCACATGTATGTTCACTGAGGCCTTGTTTACAATAGCAAAGACCTGGAACCAACCCAAATGCCCATCAATGATAGACTGGATAAATAAAATGTGGCACATATACACCGTGGAATAATGTGTAGCCATAAAAAAGGATGAGTTCATGTCCTTTGCAGAGACATGAATGAATCTGGAAACCACCATTCTCAGCAAACTGACACAAGAACAGAAAACCAAACACCACATGTTCTCACTCATAAGTAGGTGTTGAACAATGAGAACACATGGGCACAGGGAGGGGAACATCACACACTGGAGTCTGTTGGGGGTTGGGGAGCTAGGAGAGGGATAGCTGGGGGTGGGGAGGTTTGGGGTGGGATAACATTAGGAGAAATACCTAATGTAGATGACAGGGGGATGGAGGCAGCAAACCACCATGGCATGTATATACCTATGTAACAATCCTGTAAGATCTGCATGTGTACCCCATAACTTAGAGTATAATATTATTAACAATAAAAGAAGGCCGGGCGCGGTGGCTCAAGCCTGTAATCCCAGCACTTTGGGAGGCTGAGGCGGGTGGATCACGAGGTCAAGAGATCGAGACCATGCTGGTCAACATGGTGAAACCCCGTCTCTATTAAAAATACAAAAAATCAGCTGGGCATGGTGGCGCATGCCTGTAATCCCAGCTACTCAGGAGGCTGAGGCAGGAGAATTGCCTGAACCCAGGAGGTGGAGGTTGCAGTGAGCCGAGATCGCGCCATTGCACTCCAGCCTGGGTAACAAGAGCGAAACTCCGTCTCAAAGAAAAAAAACAATAAAAGAGTTGGTTTTCATCCTGGCATTCATTTATCATTCCACACTCCCCTCCCCAAGTTTTGTTCAGATAAATACACAGTTGGGAAAATTAATCTAACTAAATATCTTTTACAGACAAATCCTTGACTTTTGCTTTTAGTCCCTCATTTATCTAAAATCCTCATACATTTGCAAGATGTTTGTTTGCAATTTCAGCGTTGGAAGGGATCTTAGAATTCAAAGTTCAAACTTTCATCAGAAAACTAAATTTTCTGTACAACATCCTGGGCTATTCATTTTCCCATCTCTTTTGGACTTCTCCTAGCATTCATGGCTACATGAGGCAATCCATTCCTTTATTTTTAATTTTTCAACCAGCTTCCATTACCTGAAAGATCTCTTTTAAGCAAATGTGATGTACCTGAATGATTGCTGAACTTGCGAATCAGAAAACCTAGGCCGAGTCTCTGGAATTTACTAGCTGTATGGCTTTACATAAATCATTTAATGTATAAGATTTTTTGAAACTCAGCTACAAAAGGGAGATAAGTAAGGGCATTTGAAAGTTTTGCAACTAACTATAACTATAACTAACTATAACCAAGATTCTATCAATCTAAGCTGAAATTAGTTTCACTGCAATTTCTACCCACAGGTCTCTTGTTCTGTTTTCTGAGACCTCTTAATATGATGCTCTTCAGATATTCAAAGATAACTTTTCTATTGCTCCAGGTTTTCTTTCCTCCAAATATTTCTAATTCCTTTCCTATGTTATGAGACATAATTTTCAGCTCCTCACCATGCTGGCTACTCTCCTCATGACCTCATGTCGTACAGTATGACAGGGGATTTGACCACCACAGTAGAGGTGAGGCATAACTAGCGTTTTGTTGCTCGTGATATATATTTTATTAATATGACCGCAACTCTCAGTATTTTTAATAGCCATATTATATTATTTACTCTTATTAAACATAAAAAGAATGAAATACCAAATCCTTTTCATATCTTTTCATATTAAGCCACATTACCATTTTCTCATCAATTCACACTGATACTAGGCAGTCTAGGCTTCTAACAGAGAGCTTTACATTTATCCTGTTAACTTTCTTCTTGTTAGATTAAGATCACAATTCAAGCTTATGAAGTTCTTTCCAATATTGCTCATTTATAAATGTAATTATCATGTCTTTGATGTCGTCATCCAAGATCCTTCTAAAAATGTTAACCCGGATAGAATATGTATAGAGCCTTTCAGAGACAAAGAAAGTATTGTTCAGCTCCACTTCTCTAGAAAACCAAAGATGCTTGTGATTAGGTATCTGTCTGTAGAAATGGGAGAAAAATTCAAGGTTTATCACTCTTCTAGCTAGGGGTTCATTTACTCTGCTATTTCACAAACCATGTTTATTATTTCTTCAATGTGAAAAAGTAGAGTTATCATATTAAAATTAACTATTTTTGAATCAACATACTCATATGTAAACTGAATTACAAATACAAAATATTTTTACTACAGAGAAAATAATATTATAAGAAAATAGAACTTTTAAAGCAAATAGTGGCCAGGAGTGGTGGCACACACCACTCAGCACTTTGGGAGGCTGAGGTAGGTGGATCGCCTGAGGTTAGGAGTTCGCAACTAGCCTGACTAACATCGTGAAACACCATCTTTACTAAATACAAAAAAATGAGCCAAGCATGGTGGCACATTCCTGTAATCTGATCTACTTGGGAGGCTGAGACAGGAGAATCACTTGTACCTGGGAGGCAGAAGTTGCAGTGAGCCAACATTGCGCCATTGCACTCCAGCCTGGGCAACAAGAGTGAAACTCCATCTCATAATAATAATAATATAATAAATAAAGCAAACAGTTTAATTTGATATGAGTATTTTAAATATTCAGAAAACAGAAGGCAACATATAATTCTGTTTACCATTTTAAAACATTTATCAAAGAGTTGACTTCTACTTGGCTTATCTTTAGCATTTTTCAGCTCTGTGAAGATAAATATACAGTTAGGGAAATTAATTAAACATATCTAAATCTTACAGACTTATACTTGACATTTTCTGCCAATTCGTCATCTGTCTTATTTTATATTGCAGTTTTAACAATATATTTATTTATTTAATAAATTATTTTACTCCTGGTTCTACTTCATAATTATTTTGAGACTATACTTTAATACTATATCAAATAAAGTAATATTTTATCAATAGGGGACTGTTTAAATTATAATACAGCTACATCACAGCACAGTGAAGCTGTGATGCAGCTACTTTTCTTTTTAGACAGTCTCGTTCTGTCACCCAGGTTGGAGTGCAGTGGTGCAATCTTGGCTTACTACAACCTCTGTTTCCTGGGTTCAAGCAATTCTCCTGCCTCAGCCTCACAAGTAGCTGGGACTAACAGGCGTGTGCCATAATGCCAAGCTAATTTATTTTTTATTTTTTTAGTAGAGATGGGGTTTCACCATGTTGACCAGGCTGGGCTCAAACTTCTGACCTCAAGTGATCTCCCCGCCTTGGCCTCCCAAAGTGCTGGGATTACAGGCATAAGCCACTGAGCCCGGTTTTTTGTTTTGTTTTGTTTTTTAATTGAGAGGGGGCCTCACTCTGTCGCCCAGGCCAGAGTAAAGTGGCATGTCTAGGCTTTCTGCAACTTCCACCTCATGGGCCCAAGTGATCCTTCCACCTCAACTTCCTGAGTAGCTGGGACTACAGACACCTGCCGCCAGGACAGCTTATTTTTTGTATTTTGTGTAGAGACAGAGTTTCATCATGTTACCCAGGCTGCCCTGTTTTGTTTTGTTTTGTTTTGTTTTGTTTTTGTTTTTGTTTTTTAATAGAGATGAGGTTTCACTATGTTGCCCTAGCTGGTCTCAAATTCTTGCACTCAGGTGATCTTCCCACCTCAGCCTCTCAAACTGCTAGGATTACAGGTGTGACCCACTGCACCCAGCCCCAAGGCTGGTCTTGAACTGAGCTCAAGCCACCCGCCTGCCTCAGCCTCCTAAAGTGCTGGGGTTACAGGCATGAGCCACTGTGCCTGGCCACATTTTTAAAAACGTGGATTTGTATTTGAAATCAGTGCATTTTTCTCAGACACATCTCCTACGTGGCATCCAATAACAATTAATTTAGTAAAAAAAATTGTTAGAGATTAAAATGATGAAACATGATATAAGAAAATAAATTGTGAAGCCTTTAGTCTTTTTGGAACAAGGTCATTTATAAACCAACCAGCTAGCAATCAAGCAGAGAAAAAAGTGAAATAGATAAATTAGTAATTTAATTAAACATATCATTTGAAAGTCAATGCTGACTTTAAAATCTTGAATTAAATACCTACAGATATTTTAATGCAGATGCTGACAGTTTTGATCCACATATAGAGTCAGTTCTGATTCTTCGACTTGCTAGATAATAGCCATGAATCATTCTTTCTGCTTCCAAGCTGAATTCTACATTCAAATTCTTTGCAAAAGCCAGTAGCTAAAAAGAGTGAAAAATCCAAGATAATCAAACTTTATTATGGAATCCCTATAACAAAAATCAAAAGTATACTGCCACTTTATTTTTAAAAGTTTGCATATTTTATTACATAAAAAAGAGTAAATGTCTGCGGCCATCCCAAAGTCATTGAACACTTTAAATCACAATGTTATACCTGTAAAGGATTTTAAAATTTACTCAGAATAATTTCCTCCCTCTCAGTGCAGAAATGTTCTGTGTAGTATGTTTGAATGACTTTACAAGGTCTTTGCTCCCAGTGAAAGGCTCCCCTACCTCAGAAGCTCATTTGCATTTGAATAGCTTTAATTATCTGACAGTTTATTTCCTTAAAACTTTCTCTCATTGGCCTAGAGCTACTTGTTCTCCTTACTTCCCTTCCTTCCTTTTATAGAACACTTAACACGTGGTATGAGGAAAAACATTGTGTCAACTTTGAAGGTAGGCTTTAGTGATTGAGTAAGATTTGGGTAGAGAATAATTCTACAACACAATGATTATCACTGGTTTTTCTAGTTTTCTGCTTTTTTTTTTTTTTCTTTCAGAGTCAGTGATTCCTAGATTCCAAAGTCCTTCTCTGTGACATAATTTCCAGATTTTTTACTATCCTAGTTATTTTCTATTTTTTCAGTTCAGATAATCACAGGAAAAATTAACTATAATAAGGTTGCTATGTTTTTTTCTGACACTACCTCGGGAAAGGTTGCTATTAACTATAAAATTTATATTATATTATTTATTTATTTATTTTTGAGATGGAATCTTGCTCTGTCACCCAGGCTGGAGTGCAGTGGCACGATCTCAGCTCACTGCAACTCCACCTCCTGGGTTCAAGCGATTTTCCTGCCTCAGCCTCCTGAGTAGCTGGGACTACATGTGTAGTCCCACCATGATCAGCTAATTTTTTTTTTTTTTCTTTTTGTATTTTTATTAGAAACAGGGTTTCACCATGTTGGCCAGGCCGGTCTTGAACTCCTGACCTCAGGTGATCTGCTCGCCTCAGCCTCCCAGAGTGCTGGGATTACAGGCATGAGCCACCATGCCTGGCCTAAAATTGGCATTTTAAATATAACTTTAAAAAAAGTATATAGACATTTCCTATATTGGACATGTCCTGGATTGGATATATCCTAGCTTCTTTATTTTCTTTATTCTCCACAACTCTCTCCAGGCTTTCAGAACTGGATAATAATACTATTAATAGAATCCGGCCAAGCATGGTGGCTCACACCTGTAATCCCAGCACTTTGGGAGGCTGAGGCAGGCAGATCACAAGGTCAGGAGTTTGAGACCAGCCTGGCCAACATGATGAAACCCCATCTCTACTAAAAATACAAAAAATTAGCCAGATGTGGTGGTATGTTCCTATAATCCCAGCTACTCAGAAGGCTAAGGCAGGAGAATCACTTGAACCCAGGAGGCAGAGGTGAGCCAAGATGGCGCCATTGCACTCCAGCCTAGGCAACAGAGCAAGACTCCGTCTTGAGGAAAAAAAATTACTATTAATAGTATCAATAACCCTCTTTAAGTTCTCTCTAAGGTGGCATGATGATGAGCCACCAATATCCTCCTTCAGGAAAGGACCTGTTGCCCCAGCTACTGAGAGTGCTGTCAGCTCCTTTAGGGATTACCTCAGGACAGTCCACATCACATGAGTGATTGAGGCAGAAGTGGAAGAGAACATTATAAAGTCTGGAGGCATTGACACAAAAGCTTTCCCCAGTAAACACTGGCACACTAAACTCCATCTCAGTCTGTGTTCTGGCGAGCTCAGGCTGCTACAAATTCCATCCACTCTGATTTGTGTGACATTTATCTTCCAGAGAAACCATTTTTACTATTTCACTTTTTACTATTTTTACAGTTCACTCCAACTGTTCTCCATAATCTGACAAACCAACTATAAAATCTTCTGCTTGTGCAAGACTTTTTGTAAATATGTTAAAGAAAACAAAAACAAAAACAAAAAATGAAACCTATGACTCCAAAATACAATTTCTGCTCCAGTCAAGCTGGTCTTATCATTTTCCATGTATACTAATTTCTACTTTTATGTCTTTGCTCCAACTATTAATTCTACTTGGAACACCCATCCTTTGTGCATCTAAATTTTACCCTTTCTTACAGCCCAACTAATGTCCAGCCTCTTCCATGAAGTTTTCCCAGCTTCTGCATTCCACATTGATATCTTCCTTTCTGAATTCCTAAAATACCTTAGAGTCAGCACCACTTAGCTTAGCACTTAAATTTTTCCTTAATTATTTTATGTATCTTGTTTTTATCTCAATTAAATGATAAGCTAAAGAATATAAAAGAATAGAAATAGGCTCATATATGTGAAGTATTCAGTAAATACCTGAATAATTAATAATCTAGATTGTTTTGGCTTGTTTCTCAGGAAAAAAAATGGGCAAAATTTCTCAGGGTTATTAGCTTGTCTATATTTAGTACCCTAATTCCTACAGACTACCTTTTTCTCATACAATAAAAACCAAAACTAAAACCTCATTATATTATAAATAGTATTTTTTTATTCTATGTGAATAAACAATGCTCAGAATTCATTTTTTAAGTCAATTTCACGTTTCAACCTTTTACTCATGCAATATGCTTACAAGGAAGGTAGATATAAAAAAAAAATTAATGACTCATAGACCTCCACTTTCTGATATCCCCTGCCTTTTATCTATAATACCCAGGCATGTGAACTCTACTGTGGACAGATTTTGAGTAGTTAAAAAGGTTCCAGTTGTAAATACGTGAGGAACTTTAATAGCTATGAGAATTATTACTAAATTTACATCACCTACTCTCAGGTTCTCTGAACATATCATATATGTTTTGATGTCAGTGAATTACGCTACATATCCCTTAAAGTCAGGACTCAAAGGCATTAATCTAAGGAAAATCCCTTTGAATAGACGGTAAAATGTAAATAACTGTATATCTATATAGCCTATTATAATTATTCTCTTTTCTTCTTGTTTTTTTTTTTTTTTTTTTTTTTTTTTTTTTTTTTTTTTGTGAGACAGAGTTTTCACTCTGTTGCCCAGGCTGGGGTGTGATGGTGCTATCTTGGCTCACTACAGCCTCTGCCTCCCAGGTTCAAGCAATTCTCCTGCCTCAGCCTCCTGAGTAGCTGGGATTACAGGAATGTGGCACCAGGCCTAATTTTGTATTTTTAGTAGAGAGGGGGTTTTACCATGTTGGCCAGGCTGGTCTGGAACTCCTGACCTCAGATGATCCACCTGCCTCAGCCTCCCAAAGTGCTGGGATTACAGGTGTGAGTCACCACGCCCAGCAGCCTATTACCATTTTCTATAGAAAAATTCTATTTTGATTTTCTTTCATTGAGATTCTTTCAGCTATGCTGATTTGGACAATGGTACAAAGAATAAACTCAAAATTTTAATATTCATTACCTAACACAGTTGTTTAATCATAGTCCTAAAGAATTCTAAATGATTTCTTCCTTTATTTTTTTTTTATTTTTTATTTTTATTTTTTATTTAATTTTTAAAATTTATTTTATTGCATTTTAGGTTTTGGTCTTTTCTTTTCTTTTTCTTTTTCTTTTTTTTTTTTTTTTGAGACAGGGTCTTAACTCTATCATCCAGGCAGGAGTGCAGTGGTGCGATCTCGGCTAACTGCAACCTTCACCTTTTGGGTTCAAGCCATTCTCCTGCCTCAGCCTCCTGAGTAGCTGGGGTTACAGGCTCTCATCACCATGCACAGCTAATTTTTGTATTTTCTGGTAGAGACGGGGTTTCACTGTGTTGGCCAGGCTGGTCTCAAACTCCTGGCCTCAAGTGATCTGTCCACCTTGGCCTCTTAAAGTGCTGGGATTATAGATGTGAGCCACCACACCAGCCTAACCCTAAATAACTTCTATACAACGTTTTTAAAATGTTTAAAAGCTGTAACCAAATTGGAATAAAAGAATCCTCAATAAAGAAAATCCAGCGTTCAAAGGACTTCTATATAAACTGAGAAACATTAGCACAGGCTTCTGGGTAACTGTTTTATTTACCTTTACCTTTTCAAAATCTTCAGTTGTAAATTGTCTAGAAGCCACATAAAGCAGCCCTTCAGGATTAATGGCTTTCTTCAAAGTATGCTGCACAGTAGGAAGAAATGGGTGGCAGGGAGATGACTCATTGCAGTTAATCAATAAACCAAATGCCTCCACAAGGTTAGCAGGAATCAAACTGCAATCCTACATCAAACCAAAAGGGAACAGGCAAACATTAAACTTTGTAATTTTCACAATTTTGAAATAATTACTTACAAAGTAATTATTATATGTTATTATTATTAAAGTTATTTATATTAATTATAATTTAAGGTATTTTTTGAACAATCTGGGAACTTTTTGGTGATTGATTTTTTAAAGTCTCTTTACTATTTTCTTTCTTTTTTTTTTTTTTTCAGGCGGAGTTGCCTAGGCTGAAGTGCAATGGCATGATCTTGGCTTACTGCAACCTCCACCTCCTGGATTCAAGCGATTCTCCTGCCTCAGCCTCCCGAGTAGCTGAGATTCCAGGTGCCTGCCACCATGCCTGGCTAATTTTTGTATTTTTAGTAGAACTTGAACTTCAGACCTCGTGACCTGCCTGCCTCGACCTCCCAAAGTGCTGGGATTACAAGCGTCAGCCACCGTGCCTGGCCTACTGGATATTTTCTTGTACATTATTCATTAAGGGCTCTCCAGCTACCTATTCAAATAGTAATTTCCAGTGAGTAGACATCTGATCTACATGGTTAAAAAATTACAATTTTTAAACAAGTGGGTCATCATGTAGTTCTGATACCCAATAACGTATTAATAACAAAAATATTAAGATGTATTAAAATTTGTGACTAAATTTATTGAACAACATTCTAACAATAAAATATACATATACCTTACCATCTGACCAATTAGAGTGTTGATTTTCTGTGCATTTCTCCTTGAAGATGAATCCATATCAACAAAAGACCAAAAGCTGCACTGAACTGGAAAAGTCATCTGTTGATCAATATCCTCCCCAAACTTCTTTCCTGGGATGTACACTGTGATGCTTCTACTCTCCAGAACTAAGTTAAAAGATATTATTTATTTGTTATTTAAGTTCATTTTGGTCTAAATGTCTACAAATTAATAATATATTCTTATATAGAATTATACTGTCTTGACTTTGAATAGTGAAAGAAAGTAAATTTGATTGTTTTGCAAGACAATGCTTTAAGTTAGAGCATCTGCCATAAAAAGAACAAGGCAAAAATATATATTTGAAGCCTTATATGTCCCATGACTTGATGAGAACTAGGAGTCCAAAGCATGTAGCTAGAATTGTGGCTGGGCACCTGAGTGGACTAGGCAGTGGACTAAGAGATTGGTCATATGATACAGACTTACATGAAAGGCTAAAATTAAATCATGTTCTTTTATGTGGGGAATAATGATAGAAAGCAGGCCATCCATGTGGGAGTGAGAGAGGAAAAGATAGATAATATGAACTACAATGACTTGGGGAAATGTATCTCAAATTCAACATGTTCAAAAGCAAATTCATTGTCCTCCCTCCTCCCACTTAAAACCCAAACAGTCCAGGCATGGTGGCTCACGCCTGTAATCCCAGCACTTTGGGAGGCCGAGGTGGGTAGATCACCTCAGGTCAGGAGATCGAGACCACCCTGGCCAACCTGGTGAAACACCGTCTCTATTAAAATACAAAAAATTAGCAGGTGTGATGATGTGCACCTTTAGTCCCAGCTACTCAGGAGGCTGAGGCAGGGGAATCACTTGAACTCGGGAGGCAGAGATTGCAGTGAGCTGAGATCGTGCCACTCTAGCCCGGTGACAGAGCAAGACTCCATCTCAAAAAATAAAAAATAAAAGAACACTTTGGGAGGCTTACACAGGAGGATTGCTTGAGCCCTGGAGTTCTAGACCTGCCTGGGCAACTTGGCAAGACCCTGTTACTACAAAAAATTAGCCAAGCATTGTGGCATGTTACTGTGGTCCAGCTACTTGGGAGGCTGAGGCAAGAGACTTGCTTGAACCTAGGAGTTCGAGGGTGCAATGAGGTATGATGACACTACTGCACTCCAGCCTGGGTAACAGAGTAAGACCTCGTCTCAAAAAAAAAAAAAAGAAGGAGAAGGAGAAAGAAGAAGGAGGAGGAGAGGGAGAAGGAGAAGACGGAGAAACAGACCAGGGCAGTCACGAGGACCACATATGATTTGATTTCATTTATAGTCAGCCATCCATGTCTGAAGGGTCTGCATTCAACCAACCACTGATGAAAAATATTCAACCAATCAATAAATAAAACAACAATAAATAACACAGTATAACAATTTGCAAAGTATTTACATTGTATTGACTATTATAAGTAATCTACAGGTGATTTAAAGTATATGGGAAGATGTGCATAAATTATATGCAAATACTATGCCATTTTATATGAGGGACTTGAGCATCTGTGGATTTTGGTATCTGAGAGGCCCTGGGACCAATCCGTGGAGAATACTGAGGGAAGACTAAGTATGCAATGTTCAGAATAGGCAAATATATAGTAACAGAAAGCAATTAGTGTTTGCCAGGGACTGTTTGGGAGTAGGTGACAGGAGGCAGGGACTGGGGGTTGACTGCTAATGGGTATGGAGCTTCCTTTTGGGGTGATGAAAATATTCTGAAGTTAGTGGTAATAGTAGCACAACTCTGAATTATTCTAAAAAGCACTTAACTATACACTTTCAGTGGTGAATTGTATGATGTGTGAATCTCAATAAAACTGTTACAAAAAATGTAATAGTAGTAATTGCCATTCTATTTTTTTAGAGACGGGGTCTCACTATGTTGCCCAGGCTGGAGTGCAGTGGCTATTCACAGGCACGATCCTACTATAGATCAGCACAGGAGTTTTGACCTGCTCCGTTTCCAACCTGGGCTGGTTCACCCCTCCTTAGGCAACCAGGTGGTCCCCCGCTCCCAGGAGGTCACCATATTGATGCCGAACTTAGTGCGGACACCCGATCAGCATAGCACACTATAGCCCAGAACTCCTGGGCTCAAGTGATCCTCCCACCTCAACCTCCCGAGTAGCTGGGACTACAGGTACGCGCCACTGCACCCAGTGCTTTTTATCTTTCTACTGTACAATACTCTTATCTTTCTATTGTACAATGCAAATATATGAGCATTTATCTCATTTGTGGAACCACTAGTATTTTGCACATTCATATGTATTTTGTTTTTACCAGAACAGTGGAAATGCTGCACAAAACAATTTTTATTTTACTTCTTGATATGCATACATTTTACTTCTTGATATGCATACATTTCACCAATGCTCTCTACCTTCAGCTTACTGATGAGTGAGGAAGGACTGGAAAGACAAGGAACTATGAATTTGCCCTCTCTTTTTTCTCCTGTCAGCATTTTCAGTGTGAGTGGTTGGCAAATACAGGGAAGCAACCAAGTAAGAAAGTATGATAGGACTACTTGGTCATTTGTGTTTCTTAAAAGGCCATTGCCTTCTTTCTGCATTAGAAGCATGTCTAGTTCAAATGAAAAGCATGACCACTTGGGGTTATTAGCACTCCCTCTTACTCAGTTGAAAATGTGTTGTTATGGAAATATAAGTGCACCCATGACACATGGAGTTCAGCAACAATCAAAGACAGTACAAATTAAATGTGTTATGAAAGCTTCATAGTGATCACAAATGCTGTATGAAATAGGGCAGGAAGGCACAGTCGAAACAGGTATGCATCTGTCTCCTCTACTCACACTCAAGTGCCATTGACTCACTGGACTTCCTTACAATACAAAGATAAAATTATTAAAAATTTGAAGATGATGACAGCAGAGTTTTAAACCAAATGCCAGGCTCTTGTGGGGAGACAACATACTAGCAGGGCCAGCTTTATGAGTGTGTAACAAGTGCAATTGTACTGAGGCCCTCCTCTGTACTAGCCAGATGTTCTACCATCCTTTGTTGAAAAAAATCTCCTTTTATCACTGACTAGCTTTGGTGCTGTAGTACAAAATCAATTGACTATAAAATGTGGGTGGATTTCTATACTCTCTGATATGGTTTGGCTGTGTCCCCACCTAAATCTCTTCTTGAATTCCCATGTGTTGTGGGATGGGCCTGGTGGTAGGTAATTGAATCATGGGGGAGGCAGGTTTTTCCCATGCTGTTCTCATGATAGCAAATAAGTTTCACTAGATCTAATCATTTTAAAAAAGGGAGTTTCCCTGCACAAGCTCTCTTTTTTTATCTGCCACCACACGAGACATGCCTTTCACCTCCTGCCATGATTGTGAGACCCCCTCAGCCATGTGGAACTGTGAGTTCAGTAAACCTCTTTCTTTTGTAAATAACCCAGTCTTGGGTATGTCTTTATTGGCAGCATAAAAACAGACTAATATACTCTCATTTTGTTTTAGTTGCTTTTTTTTTGTAGAGATGGGGTCTCAGTGTGTTGTCCAGGATGGTCTGGAACTTCTGGTCTCAAGCAATCCTCTTGCCTCAGCCTCCTACAGTGCTGGGATTACACATGTGAGCCACTGGGTACAGCTAATTTCTGCATTCTCTTATAAAGTGAAACAATATGCTATGTGATCTGAGCATACTTGTACATTCATGCTGATACACCAAGAAGGCAAGGCTCTGACTGCTCTTTGCCCAGTCCAAGGCTGTCCATATTCCTGCTAGTTATAAATCTGGCCCAACCAGCATTACTCTAATACAGAACCAGACAATGACATTATAAGGAAAAAACCCTACAGTCCAATGTCTCTCATGAACATAGATTTTTCAAATCCTCAACAAAAATAATAGCACATTAAATCCAACAATGTAGAAAAAGAATTATATACCATGATCAAGTAAGCTTTATCCCAGGTACGTAAGGCTGGTTCAATGTTCAAAAATCAATTTATGTAATCCATCATATCAACAGGCTAAATGAGAAAAATCATATGATTGATAGTGGCAGAAGGCAGACAGGTCCTGGGAGGATAGGGGCAGGTCCTTGGTGGAAACTTCAGGAGGGAGACAGCCTGAAGCCTGAAAAACAGGCTGCCAGTTCCGAGTGGATTTCACTACCTGGAGTGAGAACTTCCTTAATGCCTTTTAGCCAATCAGATGGTGTTTTTCTGCACATGGACCAATCAGCACTTGACAAAACCCCATATCCATTTATGATTTTAAAAATTTCCTCCATTCTTAGCCCATAAAAACCCCAGTCTCTGGCTGGGTGTGGTGGCTCATGCCTGTAATCCCAGCACTTTGGGAGGTTGAGTTGGGCAGATCACAAGGTCAGGAGTTCAAGACCAGCCTCCTGACCAACATGGTGAAACTCCATCTCTACCAAAAATACAAAAATTAGCTGGGCGTGGTGGTAGGCACCTGTAATCCCAGTTACTTGGGAGGCTGATGCAGAGAATTGCTTGAACCTGGGAAGCAGAGGTTGCAGTAAGCTGAGATTGTGCCACCACACTCCAGCCTGGGGAACAAAGTGAGACACTGTCTCAAAAAAAAAAAAAAATGACTCAGACACAGGTTGTGACTACATGTCTGCGGTTAGGAACTACCCACTTTGGGTCTCCTGTGTGCTGAAAGCTGTTCTACCAAGCAATAAAACTCTTCTCCACCTTGCTCACCCTTCAGTTGTCCACATAAGCTAATTCTTCCTGGACATGGAACAAGAACTTGGGACCTGCTGAACAGCAGGCACAAAAAGGGCTATGACACTTTCCTGTGAGGCTTGCTGAGGTGAGTGGGAGCAAAAAGGGCTGTAACACTTTCCTAGCCAGCTCGCCTAGCTGTGAGTGGTGACACACTCTTGTTTGTTGGACTGTGGGAGTGAAGAGCAATGACGCTTCTGGAGGCCCAGACCTCAGGATTTCCTGAGTCAGAGCTGTAACACTGTAATTCTTCTGCCCTCTGCCAGCTTTGGGTGGCTGCCCCGCATGACAGAAAGTGATGATGGGCTGGGCCAGCCCAGGAGCCATGGGCTGGAGTGAGGCAATAGACTAAAAGAGCTGTTAACACGTGCACCCATTCACTGAGCTGTGGACAGCAGGAACGAGGGAGCTGTAGCATGCTTCCCCCAACCCCTTAGGGCTCCACAGTTGCTGGTGTCTCCAAGTTTTCAGATGCCACCACGTTCCTCTCATCCAGACACCAGGGCCCACAGTGGAAGCTACTTGCAGTATGCCTGTTCCAGCTACAGTCTCGCATGAAACCAGCACCTGCGCCAGCGCCTGGAGTTGTCTGCCCCGCCACAGCAGCCGGTGTGCCTGGCTATGTGCAGTGGCCAGACCCTGAGCTCGCTCATGCACACAGCACTTGCTGCTCTGCGCCTGGCTTGCCCTCAGCAGGTGTGGGATCTGGACTGGTAGTGTGAGCCAAACGCAGCGTGCTGGCCCGAGTGGGCAGAACAAGCCCAGCAGGCAAGAGTGAAACTCAAGCAGAGGTGCTGCCAGACACAGATGTTTCTGGCTGGAGAAGCAACACCTGAAGGATCCTGTGACATGACCATATTAATAGATGTAGATAAAGCATTTGACGAAACCCCATATCCATTTATGATTTTTAAAGCTCTCAGAAAATTAGGAATAGAGAAGAACTTCCACTGATAAAGAATGTCTACAAAAAATGTACAGCTAACATCACACTTAATGGTGAGAAACTTGAAGCTTTCCCACTCAGATCAGGAATAAGGTAAGGATGTCCCCTCTCCACACCACTTTTCAACTTTATACTGGAAGTCATAGCTAATGCAATAATACAAGAAAAAGAAATAATTCTGGTCCATTACAAGCTCCTGTGTTAACACACTGAAAGCAAAGGCTAAAACAGTGCATTTGCACATTAAATTTCTGTTTTTGCTTATAAAATGAGAAATGGCATCTAATATAATTTCTCAAACCCTCAAACACATGCAATACTATCCTAACTGTTAAGTATCTCAACATGGATGACAGTATAGGTTAAACAGACAAAAATTAATTTCAAAAATATTGTTTACCTGATTGAAGCTGTTCAAGTTTATCTTTTTTGTGTGAAGCCAAGTCTCCTATAAAGCAGATACCACCTTTAGCTAGCAAAGCACTGCCAGCTTGAATGCTAACTGCTCCAGTTCCATACTTATTCCTGGATAAAGTGGGAAAAATTTCAGTAGAGACTGGATGACGTATACCACGAGGAATAAGGTTTATGCTAAAATTCAAAAGCCTAGGGGAAAAAAATAAATTTTTCATTACTATTATTTAATTTTCAAAAGTCACAATGTTAATTAAATTAAATAAAAATTAAATTAAATGTTAAATTTAATTTTATTCTGTGTTTACTGAGCAATTGTGATACACCAGCCATTGTGCTAGGGATAAAAATATATATGACCAACATGGTGAAATCCTGTCTGTACTGAAAATACAAAAATTAGCTAGGCATGCTGGTCCATGCCTGTAGTCCCAGTTACTTGGGAGGCTGAGACACAAGCATCATTTGAACCTGGAAGGCAGAGGTTGCAATGAGCCAAGATTGTGCACTCCAGCGTGGGTGACAGAGCAAGATTCTGTCTCAAAAAACAAAACAAAAAATATATGAGACCTCCTGGACCTCAACTTGGAAAGCTCAGAGTCTAAAAAGACAGACATAAAAAACTAAAATACAATGTGATATGTACTAAAAAATGTCTTTAGAACATACATGGTGGCTGGGTGTGATGGCTTATGACTGTAATCCCAATACTTTGGGAGGCTGAGGTGAGTGGATCACTTGAGGTCAGGAGTTTGAGACCAGCCTGGTCAGCATGACAAACTCCATCTCTACTAAAAAACACAAAAATTAGCTGGGCCTGTAATTACATGCCTGTAATCCCAACTACTGAGAGGCTGAGGCAGGAGAATTGCTTGAACCCAGGAAGTGGAGGTTTCAGTGAGCTGAAATCGCTTCACTGCACTCCGGCCTGGGTGATGGAGCGAGACTCTGCCTCAAAAAAAAAAAAAAAAAAAAAAAGGAACATCCATGGGAGTGGGAATATTATTTCTTCCTGGAATGGAGTCAGAGAAAGTCACAGAGAGATGACATTTGAATTAGGCCCTCTTGTTTTTATGGATTCCTTTTTTTGCTTTTCAGAATTTTTGTATTAGGCTTGCTAGTGTCCCATCAAAACTATCACTCTGTTGCTTCCGTATCATGGCAATTGTGGGGTTTTTTGTTTGTTTTTGTTTTGTTTTGTTTTGAGTCTCAGGTGCAGAGGCTGGAGTGCAGTGGTGTGATCTTGGCTCACTGCAACCTCCACATGTCGTCAGGCTGGAGTGCAATGGAGCAATCTCGGCTCACTCCAACCTCCACCTCCTAGGCTCAAAGGATTCTCCTTCCTCAGCCTCCCAAGTAGCTGGGACCACAGGCACAAGTCACCATGCCTGGCTAAATTTTTTTTTTTTTTTTTGTAGAGACAGGGTTTCACCATGTTGCCCAGGCTGATCTCAAACTCCTGAGCTCTAATGATCCTCCTGCCTTGGCTTCCCAAAAGCACCGGCATTACAGGCTTGAGTCATTGTGTCCAGCCAAATTTTTTTTTTTTTTTTTTTAAGAGACAGAGTCTCATCCGTCATCCAAGCTAGCATGCAATGATGCAGTCATTGCACACACAGCCTCAGACTCCTGGGCTTATGCAATCCTCCCTATTCAGTCTCTCAAGTAGCTGGAACTACAGGCATGGGGCACCCGCCTGTCTCATGGCAATTCTTGATATGTCATTTTTGATTTCTAACCTCTTTGCTAATTGCCTCAGCTCTTCATATCCAAAATTTAAATTCTGAAAAAGGAATATGATTACCTTAGCCTAGCTTTCAAATCTTTGCCACAGAAATCATAGCTTGCTGGTACAATCAGCTATAATGAGTAGACACAGACATGTGATATAAAAGGGGATGATATAAAAGTAGGCATAGACATGCAGTGCAAAAGAGGGTAAGATGTGAATAGGTAGATGGTATAAAATATGTCTAGTGCATGTACCATTCTAAGGAATTTGGATGTTAGTTTGAAGATATATAAAATGAGAGGGCAATATTTAGAAAGAAACCTTTGCAAGCCTATAAAGAGTAGTTCTCAACCACAGTCTGCACTAACCTTACCTGGGGGGATTTAACAAATTCCAATGCTAAGTGCCACCACAAACCACTTATATTAGAAACTCTGGGGTGAGACACAGCCATAACTATTTTTTTAAAATTCTCTCAGATGATTCTAATAGGCAGCTAGGCTGAGTGCTTAGTGATATGGGACAATGAGCTTTAAATTTGGCTACACATTGGAATGGGCTAAGGAACTTTTAAAACTACTGATACCCAGAGGGTCACAGAATACAAAGTCAAAGTACAAAAATCAAATTGTATTTTTATATATTCATAGCAAACAATCAAAAATGAAGTTAAGAAAACACTACCATTTTAGTAGAATTAAAAATATCAAATATTTTTGGAACCACTTTGACAAAATATTTGCATGACCTTTATAAAAATATCACTGACAGAAATTAAAGACCTAAATAAATGGAGAGAGATGCTATATTCATGGATTGGAAGACTCAATATTATTAAGGTTAATTCTCCCCAAAATTGATTTACAAGTTAAATACAGTTCCAATAAAAATACTCAAAGGTTTATTTTTGGTTGGTATTAACATACTAATTTGGCTGGGCATAGTGACCCACATCTGCAGTCCCAGCACTTTGGGATGCTCAAGCCAGGAGTGCAACACCAGTCTGAGCAACATGGTAAGACCTCATCTCTACGAAAAACTAAAAAATTAGCCAGGTGTGGTGGTGCATGCCTCTGTTCCCAGCTACTCGGCAGGCTGAGGTGGGAGGATCACTTGAATCCGGGAGTTTGAGGCTGCAGTGAGCCATGATTGTGTCACTGAACTCCAGTTTGGGCAACAGAGCATGATCCTGTCTCAAAAAATAAACTGATTCTAAGAATTATTTTAAAATGCAAAGGATCAAGCCAGGCATGGTGGCTCATGCCTATAATCCCAGCACTTTGGAGGCTGAGGTGGGCAGATCACGAGGTCAGGAGTTTGAGACTAGCCTGACCAACATGGTGAAACCCTGTCTCTACTAAAAACACAAAAATTAGCCAGGCAGAGTGGCATGTGCCTGTAATCCCAGCTACTCAGGAGGCTGAGGCAGGAGAATCACTTGAACCCAGGAGGCAGAGGTTGCAGTGAGCCGAGATGACACCACTGCACTCCAGCCTGGGCGACAGAGCGACTCTCTCTCCAAAAAAAAAAAAAAAAAGACAAAGAATCTAATTTTTTTTTAATCTTTAAAATGAAGGATAAAGGTGCATTACTTGATTTCAAAACTGAACATAAAGCTACAATAATCAAAAGAGTACACTATTGGTATAAGTATAGACAAATACTTTTCAAAATATTAGAAAAGAGTTCAAATAGATGTATACCCAGTTCAATTTTATAGCCAGATTTTACCCCGTTTAATTGATTTTGAACAGCAGTATCAAAACAATTTAATGGGGAAAGGAAAATCTTTCAACAATTAGTGTGGAAAAATTGGATAATGCATATGAAAAACATTAACTTTAACTCATGCTTCCTACCAATCTCTGGGAGATTGAGGCAGGGGATTGTTTGAGCCTGGAAGTTTGAGACCAGCCTACCAAGACTCGATTCTACATGAATAAATAAATAGTAAACTAAAATTATAATGCTTCTGGAAGAAAACATTTAAAAACTCTTCATGACCTTGGGACAGACAAAGATTTCTGAAACAGAAGTCAGAAAACACTAAGCATAAAATAAAATAATAAACTGAATTTCTTTTTTTTTTTTTTTTTTGAGACAGAGTTTCGCTCTTGTTACCTAGGCTGGAGTGCAATGGCGCGATCTCGGCTCACCGCAACCTCCGCCTCCCGGGTTCAGGCAATTCTCCTGCCCCAGCCCCCTGAGTAGATGGGATTACAGGCAAGCGCCACCATGCCCAGCTGATTTTTTGTATTTTTTAGTAGAGACGGGGTTTCACCATGTTGACCAGGATGGTCTCGATCTCTTGGCCTCGTGATCCACCCGCCTCGGCCTCCCAAAGTGCTGGGATTACAGGCTTGAGTCACCACGCCCGGCCTGAATTTCATCAAAACTAAAAAGTCTGCTCATCAAAGATACCTTTAGACAATTTTTAGAAAACCTTTATACCTGGAGATAAATTTTTTAATACATACATTTGGCAAAGGACATGCATCCAGAACAACTAAGCTAAAAAATGAACAAAGGGCTTGAACAGACACTTCATTAAAAAAGTTATGTGAGTGGCCAATAAGCACATGAAAAAGAACTCAAATCAATAGTCATCAGGAAAATGCAAATTAGAACAATGACTTATCCGGCTGGGCACGGTGGCTCACGCTCATAATCCTAGCACTTTGGAAGGCCAAGGGGAGTGGGTCATGGGATCAGGAGATCGAGATCATCCTGGCTAACACGGTGAAAAAATCCCGTCTCTACTAAAAATACAAAAAATTAGCTAGGTGTGGTGGCACGCGCCTGTAATCCCATAGCTACTGAGGAAGCTGAGGCAAGAGAATCACTTGAATCTGGGAGGTGGAGGTTGTAGTGAGCCAAGTTCACATCATTGCACTCCAGCCTGGGCAACAGAGCAAAACTCTGTCTCAAAAAAAAAAAAAAAAGACCGATGACATATCATTTCATTCCCACTAGTATGGCTAAAATGAAAAGAGCTGACAACACCAAATGTTGACAAAGTTGGAAACAAGAGGAACTCTTTATATTTTTAGTAGAAATGTAAAATGGTACAACCACTTTGGAAAACTAGCAGTTTCTTCCCTTTTTTTTGAAACAGTGTCTCGCTCTGTTGCCCAGGCTGGAGTGCAGTGGCACTATCTTGGCTCACTGCAACCTCCACCTCCTGGGTTCAAACAGTTCTCATACCTCAGCTTCCCAAGTATAGCTGGATCTACAGGCACCTGCCACCATGCCTGGCTAATTTTTGTGCTTTTAATAGAGATGGGGTTTCCCCACATTGGCAAGGCTGGTCTCAAATTCCTGACCTCAGGTGATCTGCCCTCCTCAGCCTCCCAAAGTATTCAGATTACAGGCATGAGCCACCATGCCCAGCCAACTGGCAGTTTCTCAAAAAGTTATAAATCTACCTTATGATCCAGCAATTCCACTCCTAGGTATTTACCCAAGATAATGAAAATACATGTCCACAAAAAGACTTTTATAAGAATGTTTATAGCAGCTTTATTCATAATAGTCAAAACATGCAAAACCAAATGTCTTCCACTATGAGAACAGGTAAGTGAATTTTGGTACATTTGTATAATGAAATGCTACTCATCAACAGAAACAATGAACTACTGATGTACACAACTGGTTAAATTCAAAAACATTTTGTTGAGTAAGAGAAAGTAGACCTAAAAGAGGATACACTGTATGATTTCATGATCTGAAGTTCAAGAACAGGAAAATTGATCTATGGTGACAGAAATCACCAGTGGAGATAGGAACTGATTGGAAGAGGAAATGAGGGAAATTTCTGGGGTGATAGAAATGTTCTATATCTTGTTGTGGTGGTGATTAAAGGGGTGTATGTATTTGTCAAAACTCATTGTTTTTTTTAGTGATGATAATAAGATCTGATTATTTCACTGTACATAAATTATACCTAAAAAGAAAAAAACAAACCAATTTCTCACACAGCCACAAATATCATTAAAAAAAAGTCAAAAGGTTAAGGTCAAACAGAAAAAGAGAGAAAGGCCTTAATTTACAAGCAGCACAAATCACAAATAAACAACATAATTTAAAAAAAAGATCGGCCGGGCGCGGTGGCTCACGCCTGTAATCCCAGCACTTTGGGAGGCCGAGGCGGGTGGATCACGAGGTCAAGAGATCGAGACCATCCTGGTCAACATTGTGAAACCCCGTCTCTATTAAAAATACAAAAAATCAGCTGGGCATGGTGGCGCATGCCTGTAATCCCAGCTACTCAAGAGGCTGAGGCAGGAGAATTGCCTGAACCCAGGAGGCGGAGGTTGCGGTGAGCCGAGATCGCGCCATTGCACTCCAGCCTGGGTAACACGAGCAAAACTCCGTCTCAAAAAAAAAAGAAAAAAAGAAAAGATCAAGAATGGGAGGTTCATAGAAAAATAATACATGTTTAATAAGTTTTATATGATGCCAAAAGTTATTTCCAATTAAATAAATGCAAATTAAAATAAAATACAATTTTCTACCTATCAGATTGCAAAATTTTAAAGTTTGATTAATGAAGTGAGAGGATCGCTTGAGACCACGAGTTCAGCCCTGGCAACATAAGGAGACTTTATTTCTATAAGAAATTTAAAAATTAGCCCAGTGTAGTGGTGTGTGCCTGTAGTCGCAGCTACTCAGGAGGCTGAGTCTGGAGGATCACCTGAGCCCAGGAGATTGAGGCTGTAGTGAGCCATGATCATGCTACTGCATTCCAACGTGGTGACAGAGTGAGACCCTGTCTCAAACAAAAGAAAATAACAAAAATAAAAGTTTGATAATACCAGAGTTGGTGAGGCTGTGAGGAAACAAATATTCCATTTTTTTTTTTTTTTTTTTTTTGAGATGGAGTCTCGCTCTGTCGCCCAGGCTGGAGTGCAGTGGTGCAATCTTGGCTCACTGCAACCTCCCTCTCCCGAGTTTAGGCGATTCTCCTGCCTCAGCCTCCCAAGTTGCTGGGACTACAGGTGTGTGCCACCATGCCCAGCTAATTTTTTGTATTTTTAGTAGAGATGGGATTTCGGTGTTAGCCAGGATGATCTTGATCTCCTGACCTCATGATCCACCTCAGCCTCCCAAAGTTCAGGGATTACAGGCATAAGCCACCACTCCTGACTACAAATACTCTTCTGCTCTGTTAATAGAAGAATAAAGTGGTAAAATCTGGGCATTTGGTACCATATTTACATCACCAGTGGCAATTTAATTTTAGCAAAACATAATCTGTTTAATTAAATTACTGTTAATTTGAATTTTATATTTTTCTATTTTAAATTCATTTTGTAAATTTATTTTATGCCTTGGAATTGCATACAAGATACTAAACAAGGAGCTTATTCCTGGCTTTGTGAATATTTATACAGCTTTTTAAAGGAAAAGGTACTTGCTAGTAGGGAGCCACAAAATGCTGAGTAGAAAGGCTTACTCCAGAGTTAGGATGATGTTCCCCACACACAGTAATTATGGCACTACTTTTTTTTTTTTTTGAGACGGAGTTTTGCTCTTGTGGCCCATGCTGGAGTGCAATGGTGGGATCTTGGCTCATTGCAACATCCGCCTCCCAGTTTCAAGTGATTCTCCTGCTCATTCTTTCAAGTAGCTGGGATTAGATGCCCGCCACCATGCCCAGCTAATTTTTGTATTTTTAGGAGAGATAGGGATTCATCATGTTGGCCAGGTTGGCCTTGAACTCCTGACCTCAGGTGATCCACCAACCTTGGCCTCCCAAAGTGCTGAGAATACAGGCATGAGCCACTGTGCCCAGCCTAATTATGGCACTTCTGACAGCCTTATTTGGATGCAGTGAGTCAATATTATTGATTGGAATATTGAAGAAAGATAAGAAAATGGTTTGTTTGTTCCTTAGGGGGAAGATTATTCAAAACGAAGTACAGAAAGAGAATACAGAGCTAGGGAATGGGGAGAAAGGAAGACTGGGAAGGATGTATTTACTTACAAAAGTCTTAGTGGGGAAATTGGTTGAAACTTGGAGTAATTCAATTTATCACTTATTAATTTATCTTTCAAAGGTTTTGATTTTATTGATAAGGATTGATTTAAATATTTATACTGGCTCAGAAACATTCTAAATATTCTTCTTGTAATAATGCTCATGGAAAGGATGTATGCAAATCTGTGACTAATCAATATTTGTAAAAGTTCATGTCACATATTTACCTCTCTGCAAGTAGAGTATCACTTGTTATTATTAAAATATCCAGACAATCTTCCAGTTCCTTGTTACGGTCAGTTATCTGTACCAGACTCATCAACAAACAGAGCTTCAGCAAATTGTAAGTCCCAGGAGGAGTAATCTGTGATGCAAAGATATTGGCAAGTATTGCTGTAAATTTCCAGCATGAGCTTGAAGTTAAGGAGAGAAGACACTTGAAGTTGTCACTAATTCCTGAAGGAACTGAAAGTAAATATTAACATATATATTAGAAAGGGTTTTAAAACAATAAAACAAGAAAACATTATAGATATTTGATTTCCTTTATCTAAAATGTTATCAAAGTATAGTTCTAATAATGCCTACTATTATTATTATTATTATTATTATTTTTAGAGAGATGAGACCTTGTTATGTTTCCCAGGCTGGTCTTTAACCCTTGGCCTCAATTGATTCTCCTGCATTGGCCTCCCCAAAGTGGAATGATTAAAGGCCTGAGCCACCGTGCCTGGCCTTTAAATTCTTAGAAGGATATTAAATTATGATTTGAGGTCATGTTAGTTTATCATTTCTATCTCAGGGAATGTAATGCAAGGAAGAAGTCACCCTGTGTGTCCATGTAGATTGGCTGTGGGTTGCAAGCAAATCTCTCATTCTTTTCCTTTTAAGATCTATGTGAGCAAACAAGATCATGGAGCTCCTGAATTGCTGTGTTTGCTATTATATTTCTATGTATCGCCTTCAAAGGGGAATAATAAGCAGAATGGGAAATATTTGAATGTCACTGTTAAATGGAAAGATTTATATTCCACTACTTTGAAAGCAATGTACTATAGTATACTGTAAAATTCTAGATCTTCTCCATCCTCTCACTGTCTATCTCCTGAAAGAAATGAGTGATTTATCCAATTGATGGTTTGGGTGAAACAGCTGTGCATGTATAACCAGTCCCATTCTCCTTTCTGGGCTGCCATCAGAGAGCAATGATTTCCTCTACGCATCCATGCCCATGGACTAAGAGAGGCCTACTTTAGTCCAGCTCTTGCCACATTTGGGTAGTTAAATATGTCTCATTCTAGAGTTCAGCATAAAAAAGCACACTCTCCATCTATAGAAAAGTCATGTTCTGCTACAAAATCAATAAATGTTTAAATACTTAGCAGAAAATATTTAAAAAATCACTAAACCCTCTATAGTTCATCAGTGCTTTCTTTCTTTAACATTTTTGTTCTTTTAAGAAGTTTTCTTTTTAAGTAAGTAGAAGTATTTAGAACCTACTTACATTTAAATTCAACTTGGGTCTCTATTACTACTGATGATTATCCACAGTATGGAGGCTAAAGAAACTTCATCTTGGGCTGAATGTGGTGGCTCACACCTGTAATCCTAGCACTTTGGGAGGCTGAGGAGGGTGGATCACCTGAGGTCAGGAGTCCGAGACCAGCCTGGCCAAAATGGTGAAACCCTGGCTCTACTAAAAATACAAAAATTAGCTGGGCGTGGTGGCACACACCTGTAATCTCAGCCACTTGGGAGGCTGAGGCAGGAGAATTGCTTGAACCCAGGAGATGGAGGTTGCAGTGAGCCAAGATTGCACCATTGCACTCCAGCCTGGGTGATAGAGCAAAACTATCTCAAAAAAAAAGAAACTTCATCTTGGAAGCTAACCTGCCATTTGACTTCTAATTAACCCCAGATCTGCAAATGCACTGAGATTTCCAGTTGATCTCTTGTTCCTCTTGCAAGAGCATATACTTACCATAAATCCTGCCCTTAGATCAATCAACCTTGATAAATTCATACTTACTGTAAATCTTGTCCTTAGGTCAAATTCCTATCCAATCCCTCTGAAGCATATGTACTCCTTTCCTATATAATTCCTGGGTCCATCTTGCAGCTGCCCAAGACTGCTTTTGTCCATAAGTTTCCCAATAAAACCACCCTATAATGACAAGCTGGACTTGTCTGCCTCCTTTCGTTTCTCAGGTCCTTCTGCATTTGGGGATCACTTTGAAAATATATAGCCCATTCAAGGAACATATGGATTATAAATAAAATCCAACTCTATTCAAGATTTAACCAGCCTTATCTATATTTAGATATTTGTGAGCCAAGTTAAAAGAAGAGATCTGCTCTCCACTTTTGTTTACATAATGCTAAAGCATGTTGGAGTTGTTAAAGGAAATTATCAGTAATAAAGGTGATATTTTGGTCCTCATCTGCCTTTATCTTATTTCTTGATTTGATTCAGAATTCAGCTAAGGAAAAGGATGCTATTTTATTGAGTCCTTCTTCTCAGACCACAACAGTTAACCCAGAATTGCCTTGGCTAGTAAATAAAGGGTGATATAGAAAAACCCTTTGACTAATCTCTAACCCTGAAACATTTTTCTCATTAATTATTTAAAAAATTAAAATAAGGCTTAGCCCAAAGCAAGGAGTCATACATGCTAGCAAGTTTCCACATTTTCCTGTTTTATTTCCTTCGTGTATTTACTATCTGAAATTGTCTTTTGCTTACTTTACATGTTTATTGACTATCTACCATATGATTTAAGAGCAGAAACCTTGACTGTCCTGTTTACAGCTGTATCCTTAGTGCTTAGAAGAATGCCTAGCACACAGGCAAACAATACTTATCTGCTGAACAAATACATTTAAATGTAAATATTTGTTAATATATAATACTAACATTTTCCTTACCTTTTGAATTACAAAAAGTTATGCTATTTGCTTCTATACAGACAGCAGTTTGTGAGGTTTTTACACAGGTTGGAATTCCAATAATGTTATATTCATTTCCCATATTCATTTTATTCACTGATTCATCTAAAGTTATTAAAGACAGAAGAAAATGCATATTCACTAAATGAACTTTGCACATGATCATGTGGTTCAAAGATCCAGAACTAATAACAGTTCAGTAGTTGAGTTTGGAGTATTTACTTTTGTTTAGCTTAATATCCATATAGAGTGACGCTAATAATGTAAACTGATGCAATTTTATTGTTGATAAACTTCAATTCTTATGTGCAATGATGAATTAACTTCAAGAAGCATATGATATAGCAACCAGACACTCTTCTATAATATGGTCAAAATAAAATAAAATTATTCTATATTAAAATGAAACATCTTTGCATTCAATGAAAAGGAATGTTAATAAAAATGACCTTATAAGTGATCATTTTATTTGGGAGTAAATAATTTTACTGTCTACAATACATGTAAGCAGTTGTAAAAACATTATTTAACCTATAACATATTTGTGTTTTTGTTTGTTTTGAGACAAGGTCTTACTCTGTTGCCCAGGCTGTAGTGCAATGGCATAATCAGCTCACTGTAACCTCAAATTCTACGGTTCAAGCAATCCTCCTGCCTCAGCCTCCTAAAATGTTGCGATTACAGGTGTGAAACACCATGCCTGGCCTGTAAGATATTCTTATCTGTACTTTATATATGAGGAAACTGAGAGGTTACATAGTTTGCACAAGGCTAAATAACTAGTAAGAAGCAGAACTGAAATTCACATTTAGGTTTGCCTTCCTACAAAGTCTACCCTCTTGCATTATACTAGGTTCCTCTCTCATACCTAGAGCCTGGGTAACCCTTTGCATGAATTCAAAATTTATTTTTAAAAACACACTAAAAATTGTGAACCTCCATTCCACAATTAGAAGTTGGTTGATTATAAAGCTAAGAAATAAAGGTTTATAGGAAGGAGCAAGGGTTAACTTATCTCTGTGAAGATCAGGGTGGTACTTCTTTTTTTTTTCTTTTCTCTCCAGCCCCAGAGAGCTAAACAATAACTCCAATATCTGTGTAAGACACACAGAATAAGAGGAGATCATTGTCTTAAAATAACTGTAACCCTGGGACTTAGCTCAGTGCTTGGGACATAGTAGGTGCTAATATCATTTTAAGTGATATTAAAATGATAATTTTAATTGAATGAATAATTGATATATTAACTAAATATGACTTTTTAAAACACTGAAGAATTAGCAGACTTGTGATTCCTTTTTTTTTTCCCCAAGACGAAGTTTCACTCTTGCTGCCCAGACTTGAGTGCAGTGGCATGATCTCAGCTCACTGCAACCTTCACTTCCTAGCTTTAAGCAATTCTCCTCCCTCGGCCTTCCGTCCGCCACCACGCCTGGCTAGTTTTTTCGATTTTCAGTAGAGATAGGGTTTCACTATGTTGGCCAGGTTGGTCTTAAACACCTGACCTCAGGTGATCTGCCCATCTCAGCCTCCCAAAGTGCTGGGATTACAGGTGTGAACCACTGCATCCGGCCAAAGACTTGTAATTCACTATTTGTAATTTATAAGCATAAACAAGTCAGTTGCTTTTTATTTTTGAGACGGAGTCCGGAGTCCGGCTCTGCCACCAGGCTGGTGTGCAGTGGTGGATATTGGCTCACTGAAGCCTCCGCCTCCTGGGTTCAAGCAATTCTCCTGCCTCAGCCTCCTGAGTAGCTGGGATTACAGGCGCCTGCCACCATGCCTGGCTAATTTTTATTTGTTTGCTTGTTTTTTGAGACGTAGTCTTGCTCTGTTGCCCAGGCTGGAGTACAGCAGCGCGATCTTGGCTCACTGCAACCTCCGCCTCCTGGATTCAAGCAATTCTCCAGCCTCAAGTCTCCCCAGTAGGTGGGACTACAGGCGCGTGCCACCATGCCTGGATAATTTTGTTTTCTTTTTATTTTTAGTACAGACGGGGTTTTACTGTGTTAGCCAGAATGGTCTTGATCTCCTGACCTTGTAATCCACCTACCTTGGCCTCCCAAAGTGCTGGGATTACAGGTGTGAACAACCACCCCTGGCCAATTTTTGTATTTTTAGTAGACAGGGTTTCACCATGTTGGCCAGGCTGGTGTCGGACTCCTGACCTCAGGTGATCCACCCTCCCTGCTTCCCAAAGTCCTGAGATTGCAGGCATGAGCCACTATGCCCACCAACCAGCTTTCTTTCTATTTTTTTAGAGACAGGGTCTGGAATTCAGCTGGTGGATAAAGAAAAGACGCCGGGCGCGGTGGCTCAAGCCTGTAATCCCAGCACTTTGGGAGGCCGAGGCGGGTGGATCACAAGGTCAAGAGATCGAGACCATCCTGGTCAACATGGTGAAACCCCGTCTCTACTAAAACTACAAAAAAATTAGCTGGGCATGGTGGCACATGCCTGTAATCCCAGCTACTCAGGAGGCTGAGGCAGTAGAATTGCCTGAACCCGGGAAGCGGAGGTTGCGGTGAGCCGAGATCGCGCCATTGCACTCCAGCCTGGGTAACAAGAGCGAAACTCTGTCTCTAAAAAAAAAAAAAAAAAAAAAAAAGAAAAGAAAAGTGCTCCCCTCCCTGTGTCCATGTGTTCTCATTGTTCAACACCCGCCTATGAGTGAGAACATGCAGTGTTTGATCTTCTGCTCTTCTGTCAGTTTGCTGAGAATGATGGTTTCCAGGTTCATCCATGTCCCTACAAAGGACCCAAACCCATCGTTTTTGATGGCTGCATAATATTCCATGGTGTATATGTGCCACATTTTCCCTATCCAGTCTATCATCGATGGGCATTTGGGTTGGTTCCAGGTCTTTACTATTGTAAACAGTGCTGCAATGAATATTCGTGTGCACGTGTCCTTACAGTAGAACGATTTGTAATCCACACACTGGGGTCAGTTGGGGGGAAATGGGGGAGGGACGGTGGGGGGTGGGGAGCTAGGGAGAGATAGAAAGGGGAGAAATGCCAGATGTAGGTGATGGGGAGGAAGGCAGCAAATCACACTGCCACGTGTGTACCTATGCAACAATTTTGCATGTTCTTCACATGTACCCCAAAACCTAAAATACAATAAAATAAATGGAAAAGAAAAAAAAGAAAAATGCAAAAAAAAAGCAAAAAAGCAAAAAAAAAAAAAAAAAAGAGAGAGGGTCTCTCTGTGTTTCCCAGGCTGGAGTGCAGTGGCACCATCACAGCTTACTGCAGCCTCCAACGCTGGACTTAGGCGATCCTCCCATCTTAGCTTTCCAGGTAGCTAGGACTACAGGCACATGCCACCACATCTGGCTAATTTTTTAATTTATAGAGATGAGGTCTCACTATATTGCTTAGGGTGGTCTCAAACTCCTGGCCTCAAGTGATCCTCCCACTTCAGCCTCCCAAAGTTTTGAGATTACAGGCATGAGCCAGCCACTGTGTCCAGCCAATTACATCTTTATAGCAATTTGAGTTCAAACAGAATTCACTTACCTCTTAGGAAAATTGTAAGAGATTGAAACCTAAATGGCTGGTTGTTAGAATATCCTTGAAAAGCATGAAGTGCCTTTGTGGTAATTATTTCAACTATTTGTTTATCTTAAAGCAAAGAGCAAAAAAGAATTAGATATTAGAATATATACTCAATTTAATTTCCACAATGAAATATCAGACACTATTTTTAAAATTGTGATTACAAAATGTAAATGCATATTACCACCAAGTACTCTAAATTTTCTGTCTTCTTGAAGTGAAGATGCACACAGATCACACAAAAAGTCATTTCTTATTGTTGCAGATTCTGTAGCACCAGGGACATGCACTCTTATATACTGAAATCCTGAAAGAAAACAGAGGTAAGATACATTTGCTTTCAGATTTAGCTTTTTTGTTGTTGCTATTGTTATTTTTTAATTTTTATATTTATTCTGTTTTATTACTCACACTAACAGATTTTAGCTATTTCAGTCCTTTAAAATTAGTCTAATTCAAAATGGAATTAATTGAATTTTGTACTTGGGTTCAGAGTAGTTCAATTAACAGTTATTGGATGGCTGTTTCTTGCCAGGCACTGTGCTAAGGCACTGGCAATATGGATGCTTAAGCACACAATTTCTATATGTGGCAGTGAGAAGCAGATGACAAATTTCCACCTGCGGTATTCATTTGCAGAGTGTTCAGAGAGAAGAGAGGAGGGTCAATCCACCCAATGAGAGGTGGTGAGGATAATGGTGAGGTCCTGGAGAAGGACTAAACTAATGTTAAGCCAAAGGGATGAGAGAGGACATTAAATGTTTCATTCACAACGTCATGAAATAATGTGTGAAGAACAAGTACTTCAGTAATACAGGTGCACTTGTTAGGATGGAGGTCGGGGAGAAAAGGAGAAAAATGCATTTCAAGATTTTGCAAAGTAAACATATAAACATTAGGAGATATAAAATTTTATTCAATTTTTTTCTATTTTGTGAGTGTTTCATAACTAATTGTAAATATGATTTAGGGTTAAACAATAAATTGTTAGGTGTTTTATTTTTGGAGACAGGCTGGAGTACAGTGGCATGAATATCCAGGCTGGAGTACAGTGGCATGAACACAGCTCACTGTAGCCTCAACCTACCTGGCTCAAGCAATCCTTCCAACTCAGCCTCCCAAATAGCTGGGACTACAGGCATGTGTCACCATGCTGGGCTAATTTTTGTATTTTTTGTAGAGACTAGGTTTCTCCCTGTTGCCCAGGCTGGTCTCAAACTTCGGAGCTCAGGTGATCCTCCCTCCTCGGCTTCCCAAAGTACAGGGATTACAGGCATGAGCCACCATGCCTAGCCAATTGATTAATGTTTTGATTTTACATTTTAATATTTACCTTTTGAAAGAGGGCACGCTTCATCTGAACAAAGGAATCTTGCACCTTGTGTATACTTGGTTACAGTTGTCATTGCAATCACAATTCCTTGCATCACATAAAATCTCTGAGATGTATAATCAAGTGGAAACTCACAAAGATCAAGACTATAACTTGGCAGGGGAGGTAAATGTGATAATTTCAGCACTATATTAATCTAAAAAGAACATAAAAATGGTATTAATGAAAATTGCAAATCCAATTTGACATGTATTACAATATAGTAAGTATATTATAGAGTAAATCAAGTAATGATATATTAATATTCTTAGGAACCAAAAGGTTAAGCATTAGAGAAATGACATTCAAATATATAATTAAAGAAGTAAAAATCTGATAATCTAAGATTTTAACTGAAAATATCACTGTGAACTTATAATGTTTCCTTAAATATACACAATTTCTGACCATATCCACTGAAAAGACTTAGAAAACAATGTCAACCAGGCAGCAAAGAAGCATGCCTAGTGTCCAGATTGTGATCTCTTCTTAAGTATAATTTCTCACTAAAAGGAACCAGGATTCCTTGGGGAAAATGGCTGATTTCAGGTCTCGGATAGAAAATATAGCAGATGGACTTGGGGTATCTTCTCACAAATGGCCTGTGTCAAAAGGACATAGGAGCAAATTTGAAGGGACCCCCAATGACAAAAGATAGGATAATATGAGCATCAAAAGGAATGACAGAGATTCATTGAAATATATCATATATATTTAAAAGTTCATGAGTCCCGCATATTTAAAAAAGGAAAACCAAAAAATAAAAAAATTGGTCATTACTGGAGGCTGCTAGATTTTAAGTCATTACTCTTTATAAAGGCAAAGAATCAAACATTTACCCTGCCTTTTCTGTACAAATTATATTTCAGAGTAACCAAATGCTGATAAGAGAAAATTACTTTTTTTTTTTTTTTTTTTTTTGAGATGGATTTTCACTCTTGTTGCCCAGGCTGAGTGCAGTGGCACCATCTCAGCTCACTGCAACCTCTGCCTCCTGGGTTCAAGTGATTCTCCTGCCTCAGCCTCATGAATAGCTGGGATTACAAGCACCTGCCACCATGCCTGGCGAATTTTTTTTATTTTTAGAAGAGACAGGGTTTTGCCATGTTGGGCAAGCTAATCTCAAACTCCTGATCTCAGGTGATCTGCCTGCCTCAGCCTCTCAAAGTGCTGGAATTACAGGTGTGAGCCACTGCGCCTAGCCAGAGAAAGTTAGTTTTACAGAAGAATTTCAGCTAATTCAGAAAGAATGCTAAAATTAGAAAAACTGCAATTTTGCAACTCCTAATGAAGTAGCGGATTCTAGGCAATGAACATCAATAGCAGCTAAAACCATTAGGTGAAATTTGATGGGAAACTGTATAATGGAAAGATCAGAATGACATGACAGGAACCCACTAATCAATTGTGACACTGTTAAAGGTGCAACAATAGATACTATATCCTCCTGATATAGCACAATATGTAATACATTCCACCAACTATTGTATATTCTTGTCAAATGATTTGAATCTAAATCTAAAAAGCCTTTACAGCCAACTTCTATTTTAGAAATATGAGGTTAAGGAAATAAGATAAATAGCACTACAAGGAAGCAATTAGACAAATCATGATTATGTAACAGGACAATTAGTCAATGGTATAAAAAGGGAGGGAGAGGAAATGGCTTTAGATAGAAAGAGACTTAGTGAAATGTAAGAACCACTTATGATGTGTGAACCTTGTTTTGGTCCTGATTTGGAACAAACCAATTGTAAGATATTCTTGAAACAACTGGTCAAATTTAAAGGTAAACTGGATATTAGATAATACCAAGGAATTATTGTTACTTTTGTAGAAGGCATTCTGATTATATAAGAAAAATGTGCATAATTTTTAGAGGTTGATACCAAAGTATGTACGGATAAAATAATAGAATATCCAGGATTTGCTTTAAAATATTTCAGAAAAAAACACTGATGGTGCAGGTATGGAAAAATATTGTAACACTGAACCCAAGTGATAAATATATGAAGGTGCATTGTATTATTCCCTTTACTTTTGGGTATATTTGAAAAGTTTTATTATAACGTGTTTAATGTTACATGGGGTAATACGAGAAATAAAGATGCATATGTGAGATATTCTATTGAACTTTGAAAAAAATGTAGTATCCTTTTTAATTAAAAAAAATCTATGAATATAGAACTATTTTCTTTAAAAGTTATCATTTAGATTTGTACCTGAGATTCCTTAGTTAAATTTAACTAAAACTTACTTGGGTTTCAGTCTGCAATTGTCCAATTAATGAGAGAGTCTTAACAGCAATAAAACAGACCTGTAATTTCAAACAAAAGAAAAGTTATCAAAAATTCTGTGTGGCATAAAATTATTTCTCTTTTTGACTTACTGATTGAAAAACTTCAGCAGCTTTTAAAGGTTGGTGTAAAATGTGATTTCCAAGCTTAGCATCTAATTCAACAACATCAGATGGATTTATTAAAATTTTGAATCGATAGACAGCATAGCTTTGTTTTGAATCTGTAAAAATACACAAACATAAAAGTCAGGATAGTTATGTGTAGGAGTTTATTTGAAACTTTAAAAAATAACCCACCTTTGCTGAACGTACCATTGTAGTACTTGCAATCATCTATAAACTTTTGGAGGCCTCCACTTCTGTCAAGATAGATGAGGGCCGCCTCTTTCATTTTTAGATTTGACATTTTCTCCTGGTTAATGACTCTTCTCTATTTCTAACTGATTAAACCACAATTGTTGGTAAAATCTACAGATGGCAAAACTCATATAAACAATGTGAAAACCTAGAAATAAAATTAATTTTATTTTTGAAAATCTCTAATAAGACTTTACAAATTATTAAAGTTGAGAGCGAACTAAAACTAAGTAAAATTTCCAACTTAAAAAAAATTCCTACCCAAAGGGAAGCAAAACTTTTGTTTTCTTTTGCCAAATAGCTTTTTTTTTGAAATGGAGTCTCGTTCTGTTGCCCAGGCTGGAGTGCAGTGGCGCTATCTCAGCTCACTGCAACCTCCACCTCCCAGTTCAAATGATGCTCCTGCCTCAGCCTACTGAGTTCTGGGATAACAGGCCCGTGTCACCCGGCCTGGCGAATTTTTGTATTTTTAGTAGAGACAGGGTTTCACCATGCTGGCCAGTTTGGTCTCGAACTCCTGACCTCAAGTGATCCACCTGCCTCAGCCTCTCAAAGTGCTGGGATTACAGGCGTGAGCCACCACACCTGGCCTCATTACCAAATATTTATTTGGCACCTACTATAGGTTGGACACTAGATTGTCCTAGGCACTAAAAACACAAAGATGAGTAAAACATGGTCTCGATTCTTCAGAAAGAGTGCAGTGAGAGAAGATATATATGTAAACAATTACATGGCAATTTAAGTGCTGTAATAGAAATATGAATATACTAGGTAGCATGAAAGAAACAACATACATGAAATATTTCACAAAATTTGGGGTCATCCTTGTGTATGGGTCATAATATTTTCCATTATTTTAAGACATTTTGATTGAAGACAGTGGGGTCATAGACAAGAAGCTATGAGTTCTACTTTAAGGTGACATTTGATAGATAACTATTTCACTAATTGGAGGAGAGGTGAAGAGAAGGAGAAAGTGTTCCAGAGATAGAGGTGGTCACCTCTCACCCCCATTATGAGTTTTACACTACTGGATCCACACATCCACTACGTGGAGTTCAGGCTACTTTCCAAAGAAAAATAATTGAGACTGTCCTTTTCGATATAAGATAGAAGTGAAACTTTAGCGTTTACTTCTCTGTGGCCATAAGTACAATGATCTCGGCGTCATGTTCAGCACATCACATCTTTGCTTCACTAGAACATTAGGTTTCTGGGGTTGAATGAAGGGAGACTATTGATAATTAAATGGTTGGGTGAGGCCAGATTATGTATGCTTTTGAAGTATATGAAGATTATACAGGCAAAAGGAAACCATCTAAGTTTTTTAAAAGGGGAATATTATAGTCATTTTTTTGAGACAGGGTCTCACTATGCTGCCCAGGTTGGAGTGCAGTGGCATGATCTTGGCTTGCTGCAGCCTCTACCTCCCTTCTCAGCCTGGGACTACAAGCAGGTGCCACCGCACCCAGATAATTTTTAATTTTTTTATGGAGATGGGGTCTTACTGTGTTGCCCAGGCTGGTCTCCAGCTCTTGGGTAGCTGTCTCGTCCTCCCAAAGTGCTGGTATTACAGATATGAGCCCGCCTAGCCCTTAGTGAGATTTTTATTTTAGAAACCAGTGCCTGCTGCCAGTGTGGAAAGCAGGCTGGAATAGCGGGAGAGTTGATGATCAGTTTCTACCTATTGCAATATTCTTACAAGGTGGATGGCCTGATCCTGGGCATGAGGAATGAAATGGAATGGAGAAGATCGATTCTAGAATTTTAAAGATTGCACTGGACCTGGTGATCAGCCTACAATACGGAGAAAAGTAATCGAAAGCTAAGTGGGTTTTTAATATGGGTGTGGGTGGATGCTGCTGCTCTAATGGAAATATGGAGCCCAAGGAGAGGCATAAGGGAATGATAAGGAAAAGTTCCCGTTAGCTATCCTGACTTTGAGGGCTCTTGGGACTCCCTGATAGATATAAGCAAGAGGGGGCCATAAATCAGGGCCTGGAGTTTGGTGGCATCAAAAGAGCTAGAGCTAAGTCTAGGTGTCACTGCGTAAAGCTGAGGCCGTGGGGAGAGGGCGCGTTTTCACGGATGTAGATTAAGTCGGGAAAAGAAACAGAAGCCTGTGGAGAAGCGTTAGGTGAGAGAACAGGGATAAAATTCTAATTCTCTGTCTTCCCTTAGTCTAACGAACGTCGACTGTTGCTTCACGTGGAACAGGCGCAGATTCTGCCTTCGCTCCTTGCCCTGTCAGCACCAGGGATGAACCGGTGAGGGGAAGACGGCAAGAAAACACCTCACAACCAAAGCGGACGAAAGCGAGTCCAGACTCTGAGGACCCCTCCCACCGACAGCGGCGACCTCTCGTAGTGGGACCCCAGCGCTGTAGTGCTTTGCACCCACCCTGACTCCCACGGAGCGCGGCGGTTACCTGGCGCCTGAAGCGTTGGCGGGGCGGAGCCCTAGCACGCATGCGCGCACCTCCCGGCCGTTGGCCGCGCGCGCTGGGCTTGCCGGGACCGCCCGCACCCTCCCGTCAGCAGGGGAACTAGCCGGGCTTGTTCCCCACAGTTTGATTTCTTTATTCTTGCTCTATGCTAGCGAAACAAAGAAAAGATAGGGCTACGTTTGGTTTTCTTGTTATCTCAAGCCAAAGGTGTTGATGTTTGTTTAAAAAATTCAAAACTCCACTTCAGGGAATGCAAAATGTCTAGTCACTTCGGAAAATATTCCAGTATTCCCTGAAAGGACTCAACATAAAGTTACCCTATGATCCAGCTGGATCATACACTCCTAGGTATTTATATTATAAATACACTCCTAGGTATTTATAAATACACCCAAGAGAATTGGAAACTTGTTCACATAGAAACTTCTACACGAATGTTCATAGTATTATTCATAGTAGCCCCAAAGTGTAAACAACCTGAATACCCATCACCGATCAATGGATAACTGTGGTGTAGCCATACAAGGGAATGGTCTTTGCCATAAAATGGGATGAGGCACTAATATAGGCTTCAACATGGATCAACCTTGCAAACACTATGCAAAGGGAAAGAAGCCAGACACAAACGACTATACATTGTGTGATTCCGTTTATATGAAATGTCCAAATAGGAGAATCTATAAAGAGAGAAAGCAGATTTGTGGTTGCCCAGAGGTTGGTTGAGAATGCAGAATGATTGCTAATGGGTATGGGATTTCTTCTTCTTTTTAAATTATGGTAAAGTATACATAAAATGTACAATTTTCACCATCCTGAAGTGTACAATTCAGTTAAACTCCCTACGTTCACACTGTGCACTCATCACCGCTATCTGGTTTGTAGAACTGTTTTCATTTTTCCAAACGGAAACTCCACACACATTAAACAATAACTCCCCATTCTTCTCTTCCTCATCCCCTGACAACCATCATTCTTTGCCTCCTTGAATTTGACTAGTCTGGGTACTTCATGTAAATAGAATCATACAGTATTTGTCTATTTTTGATAGGCTTATTTCACTTCGACAAACATCAAGTTTCATCCATGTTGTAGCATGTTAGAATTTCCTTCCTTTTCAAGGCTGAATAATATTCCATTGTATGTGTACCATATTTTTTGTTGTTCATGAATTCACACAGGTTTTCTTTTAGAAGTGATGAAAATGATCTAAAATTAATTGTGGTGATAGTTGCACAACTCTGAATCTACTGAAAGCCAGTTAGTTGTACATTTTAAATAGATGAATTGTACAGTACTTGAATTAAATCTTAATTTTAAAGCTGGCCAGGCACGGTGGCTGATGCCTATAATCCCAGCACTTTGGGAGGCCAAGGCAGATGGGTCACTTGAGGTCGGGAATTGGACACCAGCCTGGGCAACATGGTGATACTCCATTTCTACTAAAAATGCTAAAATTAGCCAGGTGTGATGGTGCATGCCTGTAATCCAGCTACTTGGGATTAATGATATTTTGTTAATTAGCAGGCAGGAGAATCACTTGAACCCAGGAGGCAGAGGTTGCAGCGAGCGGAGATTGTGCCATTGCACTCTAGCCTGGGTGATAGAGGGACATTCTATCTCAAAAAAAAAAATAATAATAATGAAACTGTTACCAAAAAACCCCAAACCCTTGAATTGTGCCTGCTTCTCCACCGTTGGCATTCTTTTTTTTTTTTTTTAGACACCGTCTACCTGTATCCCAGGACTGGAGTGCAGTGGCCCAATCAGGGCCCACTGCAATCTCAATCTCCTGGGCTGAAGTGATCCTGTCACCTCAGACTCCCAAGTAGCTGAGACTACAACCATGCCTGGCAAACTTAAAAAATTTTTTTTTAGAGACAGTGGTCTCATTTTGTTTCCCATGCTGGTCTCAAACCCCTGGGTTCAAGCAATTGTCCCACCTTGGGCTCCCAGAGTGCTGGGATTACCAGCATAAGCCACCGTGTCGGTCCTCAACCTTTAGTATTCTTGATGCAGTTAGCAACTCTGCCCCATTGCATTGGGTTGGATCATTTTCCATGAAAAATAATCGAAGTCATCCTTTTTCATATTTAATAGGGGTGGCAAAACACCTCAGAGTTTGTTTCTCTGGGAGAATATAATCTATTTTACTTGTGAGATTAAAGAAAATACGTTTTTGGGGTAGAAATCAATTTACAACAGCAAGGAGGCTGTCCAAATTGTCTTGAACTACAATTCTGTGGTAATAACTACAATTTTAGATGGGAATAGGCTATGATCTAGTAATGGCTATTGTATTTTAAAGTAGCATAAATTTTTCTAGAAGGTATCCATATATTTTAAAGTGTTTTTTTTGAGATGGAGTCTCGTTGTGTTGCCCAGGTTGGAGTGCAGTGGCGTGATCTTGGCTCACTGCAACCTCTGCCTCCCAGGTTCAAGCAATTCTCGTGCCTCAGCCTTCCAAGTAGCTGAAATTACAGGCACATGCCATCATGCCCACCTAATTTTTGTATTTCTAATAGAGATGGGGTTTCACCATGTTGGCCAGGCTGGTCTCGAACACCTGACCTCAGGTTTACCGCCTGCCTCAGCCTCCCAAAGTGCTGGGATTACAGGCGTGAGCCACCGCACCCAGCTATTTAGTTTTGATTAATCAGTTCATAGCATAACATTGTTCATTTCTGCACCAAAGTAATAGTTTTATATCAACCAAGTCCAGCAAAATCTTCTAATAGATTTTTATGTATTTAATGCATCCTTTAAAATATCTGCATAGTCAGACTTGGTGGTATGCACCTGTAGTCAGCTACTAGGGAGGCCGAAGTGGGAGGTTGCAGTGACTTATGATTGCACCACTGCACTCTGGCCTAGGTAACAAAGTGAGACTCTTAGAAAAAAACATGTTAGATCTAAAATCGGAATTTAAAAACCTTAAGAATTCAGCATATTTTTACACATTGCAAACCCTCTGAAAATGATAGTGTTATCCAGAGTCAAAATGCCATTGCTACTTATTGCTGCATACTTACAGTACTTTATTTTTACAAAATACTACTAAACAGCAGAAACAAGTTACATGTAATCTGGTAAAATGGCTCAAATATTTCTTTTAAGGTGGTAGAATTATGAATTATTTTTATTTTTGCCTTTCATATAGCTTTTTGCTTTTTAATATTTTTCATTGAGGTATAATTCATATGCAGCAAAATATAGCTCCTACATGTCTTAGGAGTTTTTGAGTTTTGAGAAATATGAAGCTTTTTTTATTTAAATTTTTTTTCAAAGCTTTCTAATTTTTAAATTTTATTTTTGCCATGACATGTTTTCATCTGATCATTTAAAAAATTTGTTTTAGACACAGTCTCACTCTGTCACCCAGGCTGGAATGCAGTGGTACCATCTCAGCTCAATGCAGCTTTCATCTCTTTGGTTCAAGCAATCCCCCTGCTTCAGCCTCCACAATAGCTGGGACGACAAGCACATGCCACCATGCCTGACTTAACAGGTATTTTAAAGGATGTATTAAATACATAAAAATCTATTAGAAGATCCTTCTGCCTCAGCCTCCCAAGTAGCTGGGACTACAAATGAGCACCACCACAGCTGGCTTTTTTGTATTTTTTGTAGACGGGGTCTCACCATGTTGCCCTGGCTGGTCTCAAACTCCTGGTCTCAAGTCCGCTTCCCAAAGTACTAGGATTGCAGTCGTGAGCCATCATGCCCGGTCAGCTTTGTAATATATTTTAAAGTCAGGTAATGCGATGCCTTCATCTTCTTTTTTTTTTCTTTTTTGCTTTTTTGATATGGGGTCTTGCTCCATCACCCAGGCTGGAGTGCAGTGGAGTGATCACAGCTCACAGCATGCAACCTTGAACTCCCAGGCTCAAGCACTCCTCCTGCCTTAGCCTCCCAAGTAGATGGGACTACTGGCACATGCCACCATGCCTGGCTAATTTTTAAAAATTTTTTGTAGAAATGGGGTCTCTCTTTGTTGCCCAGACTCAAGTCATCTTCCTGCCTTGGCCTTCCAAAGTACTTGGGTTACAGGTGTGAACCACCGTCCCCAGCCAGCCTTTGATCTTTTTGCTCAGGGTTTCTTTGGCAATTCAGGCTCTTTTTTGGTTCCATATGAATTTTAGGATTGCTTTTCTAATTCTGATAAGAATTGCATTCAATCTATAGGTTGCTTTGGGCATCATGGTCATTTTAATGATATTAATTCTTCTGATCTATGATCCATGAGATGTTTTTCAATTTGTGTCACCTTCAATTTCTTTCATCAGTGTTTTGTAGTTTTCCTTGTAGAGATTTTCACCCCCTTATTTAAATTTATTTCTAGGTGTTTATTGGTTGTTGCTGCTGCTTTGTTGCTGTTGTAAATGAAACTGCCTTCTTACTTAGCTAGATCATTATTAGCATATAAAAATGCTACTTATTTTTGTATGTTGATTTTGTATCCTGCAATTTTACTGAATTCATTTATCAAACCTAAGAGTTTTGAGGTGGAGTCTTTTACTTTCTTTTTGTTTTTCCTTGAGACAGGGTCTCACTGTGCAGCTCAGGTTGGAGTGCATTGGTGGTGCAATCAGGGCTCACTCCAGCCTCAGCCTTCTGGGCTTAAGCGATCCTCCCACCTCAGCTTCCCAAGTAGCTGGGCTACAGATGTGTACCACCATGCCTGGCTAATTTGTGTGTATGTGTGTGGTTTTGTTTTTTGTAGAGACAGGGTTTCACCATGTTAGACAGGCTGGTCTTGAACTCCTGGACTCAAGTGATCTGCCTGCCTTTGCCTCCCAAGGTGCTGGCATTACAGACATGGGCCACTGCACTTGGCCAGGTTTTTCTAGATATAGGATCAGGCCAGGCGTGGTGGTTCATGCCTGTAATCCCGACACTTTGGGAAGCTGAGGAGGGAGAACTGATTGAGGTCAGGAGTTTGAGACCAGTCTGGGCAACATAGCAATACCTCATCTATACAAAAAATGAAAAAAAGTTAGCCAGGGATGGTGGTGTGTATCTGTAGTCCCAGCTACCTGAGAAGTTAAAGTGGGAGGTCACTTGAGCCTGGGAGATTAAGCTACAGCGAACCATGATTGCAGTACTGCACTCCAGCCTGGGTGTCAGGGCAAGACCATGTCTCAAAAGAAAAAAAAAATCATCAGTGAAGAGGGTCAATTTAACTTTTTTTTTTTTTTTTTTTTTTTTTTTTTTGAGAGTCTCGCTATCACTCAGGCTGAAGTGTAGTGGCACTATCTCAGCTCACTGCAACTTCTGCCTCCTTCCCAAATTCAAGCCATTCTCCTGCCTCAGCCTCCCTAGTAGCTGGGATTACAGGCACCTGCCACCTCGCCCAGCTAATTTTTGTATTTTAGTAGAGACGGAGTTTCCCCATGTTGGCCAGGCTGGTCTCAAACTCCTGACCCCAAGCGATCCACCTGCCTCAGTTTCCCAAAGTGCTGGGATTACAGGTGTGAGCCACCACACCTGGCCTAATTTCCTCTTTCCAACCTGGATGCTTTTTCTTTCTCTTGCCTGATGGCTCTGGCTAGGACTTCCAGAAGAATTATGTCGAATAGAAGTAGTGAAAATGGGCATCCTTGTATTGTTCCAGTTCTTAGAGGGAAGGTTTTCACTTTTTTCCATTCAGTATATTAGTTCTGGATTTATCATATATAACTTTTATTATTTTTAGGTATATTCCTTCTGTGCCTTGTTTGTTGAGGTTTTTATAATAAAGGGATGTTGAATTTTATGAAATGATTTTCCTCCATCTATTGAGATGATCATGTTTTTTCCTTCATTCTGTTGATGTATCATGTTTATTGATTTGCATATGCTGAACTGTCCTTGCATCCCTTACATATACTTGACATAGGATCAAGTATAAATCCCAGTTGATTGTGGTATATTATCATTTTGACTTGGCTGTGAATCCATTCAGCCCTGGGCTTTTCTTTGTTGGGAGACTTTTGGTAATGATTCAGTCTTGCTACTCATTACTGGTCTGTCTGGGTATTCTATTTCTTCCCGATTCAATCTTGGCAGGTTTTATGTTTTCAGGAATTTACCCACTTTTAGTGGGTAAGTACAGTTGTTCATAATAATCTGATAATCTTTTGTATTTCTGTGGTATCAGTTGTAATGCCTCTTTTTTCATTTCCAATTGTTTATTTGGGTCTTCTCTTATTTTCTTGTAATGTCTCCTTTTACGTTTCCAATTGTTTATTTGGGTCTTCTCCTCTTATTTTCTTGGCTAGTCTAGCTAGCAGTTTATCAATTTTTCTTTTCCAAGAACCAACTTATTTCATTGGTCCATTATATTGTTTAGTCTATTTCATTTAGTTCTGCCTTTGATCCTTCTGCTCATTTTGTTTGTTCTTGCTTTTTCTAGTTCCTTGAAGTACACTGTTAGATTAATTTGTAACCTTGCTACTTTTTGTTAGGCATTTATTACCATAAACTTCTCTTAGTGCTTCTTTTGCTGCATCCCACAGGTTTTGGTATGTCATGTTTCCATTTTCATCTGTTTCAACATTCTTTTTCCACTTACATCAAAATTTTTTTGTTCACCTAATGGTCAGTCATCCAGGAGCATGTTGTTTAATTTCCGCATATTTACAGTCTCCAAAGTTACTCTTAGTATGGATTTCTGATTTTATTCCATTGTGATCTGAGAAGATACTTGATACATTGATTTTTAAAGATTTGTTGAGGCTTGTTTTGTAGCTTAACATATTATCTATTCTGGAGAATGTTCTATGTGCTGATAAAATGAATGTATATTCTAGAGTTAGAGGAAAGGCTTTCAACTTTTTTCCATTCAGTATATTAGCTCTGCATTTATCATATATGGCTTTTATTATTTTTAGGTATATTCCTTCTATGCCTTGTTTGTTGAGGGTTTTTATAATAAAGGGATGTTGAATTTAACAACATCCCTTTAAATAGAAAATACTTGGACATATACTATACTATATCTACACCATATAGATTTGTATATCTTGTGATCTGAGAAACATCAAAATTCTATTTTTAATTTGTTCTTTAAAATATACAATACTGCACTTTAATTTTTGGCAGCTTAGCTGAGGAATGAATGAGTACAAAAAAATCATACAAAAAACTACAATTTTTATTGAACAAAAAGTCTCAGAAAAGCCCAGAACTGAATGGATTCACAGTCAAATCAAAACAGTAATATACCACAATCAACTGGGATTTACACTTGATCCTGTATCAATTTTTTCTGTCCAAATATTTTCTGTTCAAATTTTTCCCCCTCATACATATAAATAATTTATATTGTAATGACCATTGTAACATTACCAATTTCAATTTCAAATAATGACAGATATTAGGTGATTTATCTTTTCATTGATTTTATTATACTACATAATTTATATAACTTGTGATCTGAGAAACATCAAAATTCTATTTTAAATTTTCTTAAAAATATACAATATTGCACTTTTATTTTTGGCAGCCTAACTGAGGAATGAATGAGTACAAAATAATCATACAAGAAACTACAATTTTTATTTTGCTTTATAATAAGCAAAGAGCTTTGTGTAAAAGCAAAACTTACAGTAGTGCCAAATAAATCAAATATTTACAGTGTAGATATTAAAGTCTTACATCTAAAGGAAGATTCAGTGTATTGGATATAAATATTATTAATGTAAGAAAAGCACACTGCCACCCCCGCTGCCCAATTCTGAACATTTTTAAGCCAAAGAGTATTGGTGAGAAATGCTTTCGTGATTTCTTTCTCAAGACAAACGTGGAAGGGATGCTTGTCTTGCAGCATCTAAAGTGGGTCATTAAACTTTTACAAGAATGTTTCCCACATAACTTAAAAATACCTCTACTCTAATCCAAGAATCAGAATTCCAAGGTAAGCTTATTTTAATTTTTAAAAGTTCTTCTGCAGTTAATTCTCTTTTTTAAAAAAAATAAATGAATAGAAATGAGGTGTCACCATATTGCCCAGGCTGGTCTTGAACCCCTGGGCTCAAGTGATCCTCCTGCCTCAGCCTCCCAAAGTGCTGGGATTTTATAGGCATGAGCCACCATGCCAGCCAGTTATTCTCCTTTACTTTTATAAGCCTATAAGTTAGTTGGTAGGTTACAATTTTAAGATGTGTTTCCTGTACTTTTTCTAAGATATATTGAATTGGATACTGAATACACATCCGTCTGATTTTTAACTTTTGTTACATTGTAATAAAACTCTATACATTTATGTTGACTCACAATTTGTTTTTATTTTATTTTATTTTTTAACAGGGTTGCGCTCTGGCACCCAGGCTGAAGTGCAGTGGCACAATTTGAATTCACTGCAACCTCCCAAGCCATCCTCCCACTTCAGCCTCCAGAGTAGCAGGGACTAAAGACACCTGCCACCAGGTCTGGCTAATTTTTGTATTTTTTGTAGAGGTAGGGTTTCACCATGTTGCCCAGGCTAGTCTCCAACTCCTGAGCTAAAATAATCTGCCTGCCCCAGCCTCCTAGGGTGCTGGGATTATAGGCATGAGCCACCATGCGTGGCCTGTTATTTTACTTTTTAATTCCCAATTAGGCAAATACTCTAGAAAGCTCAATTTTTTATTTTACTTAACCCTTTAGGAAAAGAGCTTTGAAATACCTATTTGCAAAAGCAAATACAAAGACTTAGAATGACTTAATAGCATACTAAACATTCAAAAGATGAATAGAACATAAATAGAATATATTTGTAATATGAATATATGATAAGAGAGATATTCGTTTTTGGTACCACCTTAAAAAATCCAGCAGTACATTTTATTACCTTTCAGATCTTTGGGAATACGTACTTAAAATTCCAAACGATTAAACTTTTTCTTATCCTTCTGAGGAAAAATAATCCACAAAGTTGAACTGGTCTTTCAAAAAAATAATTTCCTTTGTTACTTCTTAAATGATCTGCAGAATAAAGTTACTCCAAGTGTTAACTACCAGCCAATGCATTAATTATGCTTTTACATTTTAATCATACCACGAACCAAATATTTCAAACAGTGATTTATCATGGAAGAATACAATTTCTTCTTAAACAACCATGTACCAATTGCATAGTTTTGATGTGATAACAAAAGTCATAGTAGAGAGTTACAAAGGTATTAATAAATGTTAGCTGAACTGAAATTGACTGTTAAAAACAGTCTATCTTGGGTAGATGTTAGTGTAAACTTAGAGGGAAAAAACAGTCAATTGCAAAAAGTTTTCTTTAAAAATAGGTTAATGCGAAGAATAATAGCTTTTAAATTTTGTTTAAAAATAAACTTACTAAACAATATAAATTTTAATCAAAACAGCTCTTTTAAAATGCCCTATTTTTCTTGCATGTAGCAGAAAATATTTTTTCATAATTTTCATCATTACATGTAAAAATGAGGCACTAGTTATACATATTTGAATATATCCACACAAATAGAAGCTTCAGTCCCATCTATAGACTTATTTTGCTCCATGGTTTCTGAATGGCAAACTGTTCACAAAAATAAGTCTTCTGAAGGAGGTGCATAAGAGAAACCAACAAATGCATCATCTGCCTCCAATACACTGGCATTCACTATAGAATAGTCAGAAGATACACACACAGAATATGGAACTGTTTCTTCTGTAAATGCTGTGTCAAAGTTTCTGATATCATCTGGTCCAGCCTAAAATATCAAAAGCACAGTATTATTCATCTTAGCTTTTCTTTCAAGAATTTAATCCTTTTTTTTTTTTTTTTCTTTTTTGAGAGGAGTCTTGCACTGTCATCCAGGCTGGAGTGTCAGTGGGCTCACTGCAATCTCTGCCCCCCAGGTTCAAGTGATTGTCTTGCCTCAGCCTCCCACAGTAGCTGAGATTACAGGCACCATCCACGACACCCAGCTAACTTTTTGTGTTTTTAGTAGAGACGGGGTTTCACCATGTTGGTCAGGCTGGTCTCGAACTCCTCACCTTGGCCTTCCAAAGTGCTGGGATTACAGGTGTGAGCCACTGCACCTAGACCAATTTAGTCCTTTATGAATTTGTGTGTTTATTCCTGGCAAGGTTAGATGTCTTCCTAATTCATTCCTTTGAAACACTTTTCTCCTTCTCCTTTCTTGACTTTTATTATTTAGGTGACATTATCTGTCCTTCTAAAACAGGGGTGACCAATCTTTTGGCTTCCCTGGGCCACACTGGAAGAAGATTGTCTTCGGCCACACTCACTAACATGAACAATAGCTGATGAGCTAAAAAAACAAACAAACAAACAAACAAGGCCAGGCGTGGTGGCTCACGCCTGTAATCCAAGCACTTTGGAGGCCAAGGCTGGTGGATCACCTGAGGTCGGGAGTTCAAGACCAGCCTGACCAACATGGTGAAACCCCATCTTTAAAACACAAACAAACAAAAAACACACAAAAAAATCTCATAATGTTTTAAAGAAAGTTTAAGAATTTGTGTTGGGCCACCACATTCAAAGCCATCCTGTGCCCCATGTGGCCCACAGACCGTGGTTTGAACAAGCTTGTTCTAACAGTTAAGGTTCTTTTTGAGTTGGTGGAGGAGAGAGAACAGTAAGGACGGCTTACAAACAGAGATGCATTGCTCATTTAAATCTCAAGACTTTTCACTACTCCCCTTCCTCTCAACCCATCACTGTCTCATTACACCTAAGTTCAGAAAAAGGTCTCAGGTAGGTTTTCAGGATAGCATTCTGTAGTTGAGTTTCCATAAAATGCCTGTCCATCTGGTCTCTCAATTCTAGGTGGGTCTGATGAAGAAATGAAGCAGTTATCAGTAAAATTATAATTTGTTTTGTTATCAGTTATTAGGTTCTTGGTTATAAGAAAGGCAGTGGTTCTTAACTTTCCTTTATAAATCTGATGCAAGCTAATAGACTCTACCTTTCCTATTATCTCACTTTCACCAGGCTGTAGCTCACTGCAACTTCGACCTCCTAGGCTCAAGGGATCATCCTACCTAAACCTTCCACAAGTAGCTGGGACCACAGGCATGTGTCACTATACCTGGCTTTTTATTTTTAGTAGAGTCAAGTTCTCACCATGTTGTCCAGGCTGGTCTTGAACTCCCGAACTTGAGCAATCCTCCCATCTCAGCCTCCCAAAGTGTTGGGATTACATCTGTGATTATGGCTGAAATTACATCCATGAGCCACCATTCTCAGACCCAATATATTTATAGATCAAAACGGATACAAATTCAGGTGATTTATTCTTAAAGTCCATTCCTGAATTTCTAGGTTATTTCTGCTCTACAGGGAAGGGAATCCTTAAAATCAAGTCTAACGGAGGGTGCACTGATAGAACTTCAGTGCAGTTATTATAATCAAAGGATCATAGCCTGGTACGTCCACAAACTGAGCAGAGACCACAAAAACCCAGAAAGCTAGATCCTCCCATATGAGAAAATCCACCCCTCCCCCACCGCCAAGGGACAAAGAGTGCTAGAAATTTTATGTGTATGTATGTGTATATATATATTTTTTCCTCATCACATTCTCATACACAATTCTTGAAGCATGGGCTCTTGAACTCTGGCTACAAAACTTGCTAGCTGTGATTATTATTATTTTTGAGACAGAGTCTTGCTCTGTTGCCCAGGCTGGAGTGCAGTAGCGTGATCTGGGTTCACTCAAACCTCCACTTCTTGGATTCAAGCAATTCTCGTGCCTCAGACTTCTGAGTAGCTGGGACTACAGATATGTGCCACCACGCCTGGCTAATTTTTCTATTTCTAGTAGAGACAGGGTTTCACCATGTTGGCTAGGCTGGTCTCGAAGTCCTGACCTCAGTGATATGCTCACCTCAGCCTCCCAAAGTGCTGGGATTACAGGTGTGTAATTCATTATATAAACTACTCTATCTCTTTGAGCTTGTTTCTTCTTCCATAAAGTAAGAATACTATCACCTACCTCCTCAGATTGTTGCAAGGATCTGATGTGTTAATAAATAAAATTCCCAGAATCTAACATGTAGAAGGTACTCAATAAATGATGGCAATGTTCTCTGACTTGCCTTTATAATCCCCTCATGGCTCATGGCTGGTACCAACAGGAATAATACAGGCTGAGCATCCCAAATCTGAAAATCCAAAATCAAAATGCTCCAAAATCCAAAAATTTTGAGCATCTATATGACACTCGTTGGAACATTCTGAATTTCAGATTTTCAGATTTGAGATGCTCAATCAGTAAGTAAATTCCAAAATCCAAAACACAATCCCAAATCCAAAACACATCTGGTCCCAAACATTTCAGAAAAGGATACTCAACCTGTACTATGTGGTTTTTTAAGAGTGAAGGCTCTGCCTTCAGAGTATCTGAGTTCAAATTCTAGTTCTGCAACTTTAACTTAATTTTGAAAAAAGTTATTTAATTTTTTCTGTGCCTCAGTTAACTCATCCATATATATGGAAAATAATAGTACTATCTCATAGGATGTTGTCAGGATTTAGTAAAACGATACATGTAAAGTATTGAGAACACTGTATGTGAAGACCTACTTCATCAAACCCTAGAATAGCTAACTTTTTGATCTTTGTTAATCTGTCCGGTGAAAAATAGTAATCTGTTATGGTTTAATATTGCACTTCCTCAACCGTCAGTGAGTATGAACTTCTTTTCATATAATTAAAACCTAGTTGTATTTCTTTTTCTGTAACTGCATATTTTGTGTCTTTTGTCCATGTTTATATTGGTTGTTGGTATGTCTTCCCACTGACTAGTAAGAACGCTTTAGATGTTGAAAATTTCCCCAGTTTGTTATTTGCTTGTAGCATTTTTTATGCAGATACTTCTAAGTTTTACGTAGTCAGTGCTCGCATCAGCACTGACTACATATACTAAAATTATATGTAGTCAAATCTACCAACTTTTCTCTCTTATGGCTTCTGGGTTGTGGGTCATGCTTTAAAAAGCATTTTTCACTTAAAGATTATACACAAAAATATTATCTTAGGTCTTGCAAGGGTTACTTTTAGGTGCATGGTGTAATGACTCTGGAGTCAGACATACCTAGGTTTTTTTGTTTTGTTTTTGAGACAAGGTCTCACTCTGTCACCCAGGCTGGAGTGCAATGCCATGATCACGGTTCACTGCAGACAACCTCCCTGGGCTCAGTTGATCTTCCTGCCTCAGCCCCCGAATACTTGGGACTACAGGTGTGCACCACCATACCCAGCTAATTTTTGCATTTTTTTTTTTTTTTTTTGGGTAGAGACAGGGTTTTGCCATGCTGCTCAGGTTGGTCTTGAACTCCTGGGCTCAAGCAATCCACCTGCCCCAGCCTCCCAAAGTACTGAAATTACAGGTGTGAGCCACTGTGTCTGGTCCATACCCAGGTTTTAATTCTTTAGAGGGTTTGGGAACCAAGGCAATACATCAAGGATCTAACACAATGCTGGGTACATAGCAGGCAGTGCTCTAGAAGTTAATTCCTTTTCTCCCGACCTCTACTTGGAAATGTATAGCATAAATACATCCTGCTACTAATATGTACCCTCACTGCAATCTGTCCTTTCCAGACCCCTGTATTTTCATAGTAATCCCTTTCTACCACACACAATCCATTATCATTGAACTAATTTAAAAAACCATTAATAAGAGGGATTCATCGACCCAGAAATGAATATTTTAGAATTGTTAGAATGGTGCCCACCTCTCAGATGTGGCTTCTGAATGACCCACTTGGAGCTTGGACAAGCCACTGTTATCAGAGTTCAATACCACATTGACTTGCTTCAGGGCAGGGCTATGCTACACTTTACTGTTTTGTTTTGTTTTTTTGAGACGGAGTCTTGCCCAGGCTGTAGTGCAGTGGCACGATCTTGGCTCACGGCATCCTCTGCTGCCCAGGTTCAAGCGGTTCCCCCTGCCGCAGCCTCCTGAGTAGCTGGGACTACAGGCACACACCACTGCATCAGGCTAATTTTTTTGTATTTTTAGTAGAGATGGGGCTTCACCATGTTGACCAGGATGGTCTCAATCTCTTGACCTCACGATCCCCTCGCCTCAGCCTCCCAAAGTGCTGGGATTACAGGCGTAAGCCACCATGCCCAGCCTCTATGCTACACTTTTACTTTAAGGATTATTTGGGGAAACCCTCTAATTTGAAATGTTGGTGAGCCCTCTTCCACCAAGCAGTCAATTTTATTTTCATAGTTTTTCAAAATTTTACATGTAATACACAGAAATTCCTAAAGTAGGGACTGAGGCTACAGAACTGTAAACTATTAGCTATGCAGAATAGTCAATATTTCAAAAAGGTAGTAAAAAACCTGAGGAAGTTATATTCCAAGAGCTGCCAAAATGAAAGCAGCAACAAAGTAAGTTTTTCTGAGGATTAAAGTGGAGGCAAGGATCAAAGCCTGGATGTACCCAACATAGAATGATATGTTAGGAGATGCTTCACAGTAACTTAGAGAATTTCAGATGGAGTGTCAATGAAATCATATCTGCATATGGCTTATTTTGGAGGGACTTGTTTTGTATTGGTTGTTCTGAAATGGTATAATTAGAAACAAATCTTTCAAAGTATCAAAAGCTACTTGCTGATAAATTTTATAGTAAAAAAAGTTTAAAATATACTAATGTACCTATTCATATTAGCCCATTTTAGGTCACTGCTATTATCCTTTCTCTATCAGCTGCTGAGAGAATAAAATTAAGCAACCAATTCTTATTAGGATAAATTAAATATTTGGCAGCATAACCTCAATTTGTGGGCTAAAAAAAAAAAAAAAAATTCCAGAATGCATTTTACCCATTGTAAACATGGGAAAAAAACTGCTTCCAGTCTTTTTTTAATACAGATTAGTTGGGCACATATAATTGAAGTAAATAGTTTATGCAACCTGTTAGATTTTGAAATAATTCCCACTAACTGCTAGAAACATTCAAAATAAAAATGTTGAAGCTTGGCATGGTCAATAACCCCACACTCCCTTTTCCTAGTAACTAGCCTTATTAAAATATACAACACTAATCAGACTGAAAGTCAGCTAATTCATTTTATTCATGGAAAGAGTAGGCATCAAAGATAATTTCTGTCAACTGTTTATTCCTCCACAGATATAATCATAAATTATTATGAGCATCTGGTTTTTTTGCATCACATTACACATTTATGAATTAATTACACATTACACATATATATGAGTTAATAGTATAAAGCTTATCTTTAATGTTCCTTTTTGCTTTAAACAAATTATCTTTAGGTGAAACATTTCCATCAATAGATTTAACAAGCCTAGCTAACATGAACATGTTATAATACTATCCTATTGTTTTCCCAAAAAAGTAACAATTTACATTAATATGTTTATATTAAAAATGACCTGCTTTTTTTTAAATTTTATTTTGAGACAGAGTCTCGCTCTGTCACCCAGGTTGGAGTGCAGTGGTGCATTTTTGGCTCACTGCAACCACCACCTCCCAGGTCCAAGTGATTCTCGTGCTTCAGCCTCCTTAGTAGCTTGAATTACAGGCATGCATCACCACACTCGGATAATGTTTTTTGTATTTTTAGTAGAGACAGGGTTCTCCCATGTTGGCCAGGCTGGTCTTGAACTCCTGGCCTCAAGTGATCCATCTGCCTCGGCCTCCCAAAGTGCTGGGAGTGGTCTGCCTGCCTCAGCCTCCCAAAGTGCTGGGATTATAGGCATGAGCCGCCACGCCTGGCCGACTTATTGAGTTTATTCTTTCTTATACATGCTCCAAAGAAACACTTTACAATTACTGTGCTGGAAGATATTTTTATCAACCTAATCTAACTATAATCTTACTGGTCTCCCTGAAGTTATTAGTTATACTAGACAATCCTGAGTAACATATTTCACAAATATTTAGGTAATGACTCCATTTAATTCAGGTTAGATTCTGAGATCTAGTTTCAAAATTATTATGAACTGCTATTCTGTTTCACTATTTTAGAACGAAAGATTTGGATATATACTTACCACATTAGGATTAAATGGTGGTGGAATCTTCTTTTGTACAAGGTCAGCCCAGCTGAGTGATTCAAAAAAAGGATGATTCTGAATTTCAAGCTGGAATATTAAAAATATATATATTTTTACTAATGCTGAAGAATATATTAAGTACTAACTGTGTAATTTTATGAAGCCAAACTATTACTATTTTGCCCCTCAATAATGCTTTTTAGGAACATGTTTATGTTATTTGTGTAGCAAAATAGCAATAGAAAGACGATCAAAATAGACTAAACGTTACTTAGAATGATCTACTTAAACTTAAATTATATTCTTTTCAGAGTCACAATTTCCTCAGTGGTAAAGTGGGGATAACGTTTCTGCCCTAAATACTTCAAGAGAAGTATGTTCTAAGGATCAGTGTAAAGTATGGAAGTAAAGTGCTATGAAAAGAATGAAGCACTATAGAGGTACAAAGAGTTAAGTGTTATCACTGGAGTGGGGGTAAAGAAATTGGGCAGAGATCTTTATACAGTGGAGAAGTAAAATCAGTTATGAGTTCTACTAATAAAAAAAAAATCCCACTTAGGGTTGGTATTACCAAACATTGCACAGTACTGACTCTAGGTTTTTTCCTGCAAGGTGCCATGGGAGTGTATAAAGAAGGATCCAACCTAATCTGGTGGGTTAAAAAAGACTTCTTAGAGAAAGTGATATCTGACCAGAGGTCTGAAAGATGAGTAATTAAGCTAGACAAAAGAATGGGGAAAGCATGTTCCAGAAAGGCTCTGAGATACTAAAGAGGTTAGTATGGTCAAGAAAATGAGAGTTCAATATGGCTGCAATGTGGGGAAGGATGGGACTGTCACACAAGGTGAAGCTGAAGAGCTAAACTGCCCGTATCATATCAGGTCTACATTTAACATTTTGGATTTTGCTCTAGGGTCCTAAGAAGCCATCAAGGGGATTTAGTTATGAGAATGTCACAACTGTTTTGTTTTTTAAAGCATCAGGTTGGTGAGAAATGTTTTTTGTTTTTTTGACCACCACTCTGGGCAAGGCACAGTGGCTCATACCTATAATCCCAGCATTTTGGGAGGCCGAAGGGAGAGGATCACTTGAACCCAGGACTTCAAACCCAACCTGGGTATTACAGTCAGACTCCCATCTCCACAAAAATTAGCCTGGTGTGGTGGCACATGCCTGCAATCCAGCTACTTAGGGACTGAGGTGGGAGGATCACTTGAACGTGTGAAGTTGAGGCTGCAGTGAGCCATGATCACACCACTGCACTCCAGCCCCAGCCTTGGTGACAGAGCAAAACCCTGTTTCAAAAAAAAAAAGAAAGAAAGAAAGAAAAACCCCAAAACACGACCCTGGCTATAAGAAGAAATAGATTGAAGAGTCAAGGGCCAGATAAAGGAAAAATAGCTACCACTGTAACCAGGCTAAAAATAACTAACAGTAGGAAAAGAGTAGAAGCAGTGGGGCCAAAAAGAAATGTCTGGATATGGAAAGATTTAGGCAGCAAACTTAACAGGACCTGGCTGTTTGTTGAATATGGAAGGAAGGAAGAGAGAAGAATCAAGAATACGTCTCAGATTTCTGGCCTGAATAGCAACATGGACAGTGATGTCCTTTAATATGAAAGGGAGCACAGGGGGACAATAGCCACGCTTGAGGTACTCTCAAGAACTCCAAGTGTGGTGTTGAGCAGGCAGGTACTGTGTAAGTCTAGAGTTTAGAAGAGAGAGTTGAAGAGTACAAGATATAAATGTGTGAGATGAAAAGCTGTAGATAACCAAAGCCATGGGACCAATTGGGATTGCCCCAGAAGACAGCAAAGAAGAAGAAGGTTTAGAACAATGACAGGGCACGGCAACATTGAAGGCTGAAAATGAGCAAACACAAGAGATTATGGAGAACAGTCCAGAAATGCAGAAAGGAGAGCATGAGACGAGATGGGTGTGTGCTCCTACAGAAGCCTATGGAACAGAAGAGGGCTGCAAGTTTAAATGCTGTTGTGGGCAGCATAAGTTGAGGAAAGAAAGTATCCAGCAATTCTACTGGCTATTTTGTGGTAGACTGAGAAATGAAAGAGCCTGGGAAAGGGAGACTGAACAAAGAAAACTTTCAACAAGTTTGGCGAAGAAGGGAAGAAGATAGAGTAGTACCTTGCAGGAGAGTATGACCGAGGGTTTTTTTGGCTTAAGAAGCAACAGATTTGATAGCGTTTAATTACTGACTGGAAGAAACCAGAAAAAAAGAGAGCAGTTATTTATGCAAAACAAACAAACATGGACAGGATTCCTTACAAATGGACAGGATCCAGTGCACAGATGGAAACAGACCTTTTCCACTACAATAGGAAGAAGGAAATGACAGGATCCTACAGGTGTATATAGGTCTGTGGATTTGATAGCAGGAAACTGAGTTAGCTCCACTCTGATGATTCTATTTTCCTTACAAAACAGAAGGCAAGATCATCTGTTAAAAGTGAAGAAGAAAAGGAATCTGGGAAGTCTGGAGATAAGGTGTGAAACAGTTAATACAGAGAAGAGAATAAGCTACATAGAGAAACAAGGAGTATTACCAGACAGTGGGGAAGCACAGACATGGTTCACAGTGCTTCCAATATGCCCAGTTTGTTACTTTCTTTAGCACTGTTCAGCAGCTCAGGAGATGACAGTTGGATTCATCTAGAGTTGCAATTTCTGTCAATGAATTCAATAAATGGACCAAGGGACAAGGAGGCATGCAATATTAGCAAGACTGGCTGGAACAACAGAAAGGAAGCTGTTGGCAGAGCTACCAGCTGAACTGGGAGTGTGGGGAAATGGACGAAGAGTAGCAGCAAAGTCTTTTATTCACAGCTCAAGATTAATAAACAGCCTCCAAGAATATCCAAGAAAGCAATTTGAAAGTTCGTATTCCTCAATATTTTGTGCGTTTACTCACACGATAACATAATACTGGTAACAATACTACCAATTTAATTACCCTGAATTGAAACAAACATGCAGATTCCCTAATTATCTCAGGGAGGTCTCAACAAATTCTAAAAAAAAAAAAAAAAAAAAAAAA